AGCCGGGCTGCCGTGTCCGAGGCCGGCCGGCACGGGGGAAGGTGGTCCCGGCCTTCCAGCGCAGGAGCATCCCGGCAGAGGCTGAGCGGAGCTTGGAGCCCGAGGCAAACGCGGTTTGCCGGGCGCCTCGCTGTCCTCTTCCCCCGGCCGCGCCGGGGCTCCCCGGGAGCACAGCGAGCGAAGCCTCCTGATCGGGGCGCGGCGGGCCGTGCGGAGCGGACCGCGCGGTTAGTGCGGGCCCCCGCCCCGTGCTGGGCAGGGAGACGCGGCCGCGCTGGGCCACCCGGACTGGGCTTCCCCTTCAAAGGCTTCTAATTGAGGCCCTGCCGCTTCCTGGCTGTGGCCCTCTGCGTCTCCGTGCCTCCTTTCCGAAATGAGGGCTTTGGTTGATCTCAGAAGCCCCTTCTGGTGTTATGGTTTCTGGAAAGGAAATCACCGTCCCCGCAACAAGAAATGCCACGTCCCCCGGCAGTTCCTGTTATCAGCAAAGCATTTAACCTGCACGAAACAAAAGTTCACACTGAGCAACTTCTCTGAAAACCAGGGGGAGGGGGGCGATGAGTCCGGTCAGGGCGCTGGAGGCTGTCGGCGTGTGACAGTCTAGCCGTGATGCAAGGGGAAGGTATGGGCCGGTGGGGCCGGTGGAAGTTCAGTCAGGCGGCGGCGTTTTAGTCGGGAGCTGTCCGGATGGGTAGGTTGGCCTGAGCGGTGCTGCTTTCCCCGCACATGAGAGGCAGGCAGGACGCTTGCGGGGCTGTGAGTGTCGCAGGAATTTTAGCCTCTCTTTGAGGGAGGGGAGGTGAACTAGAAGACCTGAGGCTTGAAGGCTTCTCCCAGGGCCCGGAGAATGTGCAGTTCTGAAAGTGCTTCTCTGTGAGTCCGTCCTGCTGAGTTTTCCCTGCGGCTTTGCTAACCCCCGGGGTGAGTGGGCGCTCCCCCGCCCCTGGCCTGCAGGAAGCATCGTGCACACTGAAGTGCATCCCTTACAGGGCGAGGTCACCGGCCAGACTCAGCTAATCTCCCGGCCACCTCTCCTGGGGGCTCCAGGCCTCTCCACTGGCCTGGGAGAGGCTTGCCGGGAATGTGCAGGGCCCACACAGCCTTTCTGAGGAGCTGAACTTCGAATCTGTTTAGTGCCCGGTCCGCTGACCTTCCGACTGGCCCCTTTTCATTCTGCAAACAAGCCCTGATGCCTGCTGTGTGCCAGGCTCTGCAGTAGGTCCTGGGGGGTGGAGACTTGCATCTGCCCCTTGGGAAGTTCGCGGTCAGGTAGGAGACAGGAAGAACCAGGCAGGTGATGCACCATCCGGTCCCGTGATAAAAGCACCCACAGGAGGCCCCAGGGCCAGCCTTGGAGCACAGGGTGGGTTCCCAGAAGTCAGGACGGCGCCCTGCTGCGCAGCACGTCCCATCGCTGCAGATGTGTGTAGAGGCTCCTGGATTTCTCTCAGCCGCTGGTGAGAGCTTAATGTATAAACCGTCCAGAACAGAAGAGCCAGAGAGCACGCGTGCTGGTACCTGAGGCCTGTGGTCAGCATGTTCTGATCTCTAGGAGCCCGGAAGGTGTTAGGCGGGGTTAGTGTGTAAAGTCTTGGTATTAAGAGTAAATGGCTGCGTGGGGAAAACAAAGAAACGTATTTCATGAAGAGAGAACAGCACCCACAACAGCCACCACAACAAAAGCTCGGTGATAAAGAAGGACAGCGGAGAAGCCAGTGGTGTGTGGAACAGAGCTCAAGGACTTTGGACGTCTGCGAGAGGGACCCACGGAGGACTGGAGAGGACCCGGGTATTGCGGGCCCTCCCGAACCGGCACCCGTAGGGACACACCACCGGGACAGCCCCGTGGGCTCTCCGCCAGACTTCCCTCTGTTCTCTGTCCTTCCTGTGCTTGCCGTGTTCTAAGGGGTTGTCCTCGCGCTCCTTCCCGCTGCCAGGGTCGTGGGATGAGAGGTCCTCGGGGTATGCTGCACTGTGACCCCACCCCCTTCCGCCGTACTCTGTCAGTAAATGGCCAGTGTGTCCAGTGCTTGGGGTCCTAACCAGAACTCAACTAGAGGCTCCGCTCCATCCTTTAAGTAAGTCCTGTTGTTCACAGGGGTTCCTTCCCCACCTCCGCCCCGAACCACCTGGGCGGGTTCCTGTCTCAGCAGGGCTGTTTTGCTGTGGGCAGACAAAAGCAGAGAGGAGCGGGAGTGGTGGGGATTGAGGGATTACAGCCTTATCAGCCGGAGGCCAGGGAGAAAGGGCTTGGCTGAGAGAAGGGGATTAACTTTATTTTTATTCCTGTGAGTGTGGGGGAGGCGGGGAGACCTTCACGTGGTCTCTCTCCTTTGCAGGGCTCCCTCTGCCTTTTGTTAAAATTCCTGCTCGTCTCCCCAAACTCCTTGCCCGGATTGCTCGGAGGGCGAGCTCTCCCTGCAGCCCTCCAGCCTGCGTGGGCCGTGTGCGTTGCTTCGCAGTTAGGCTCTTTTCTATTAAGTCAGCACGGCCTTTTTCTTTGTTCCCGCACAGTGGGTTTGAGACCCCCTTGCCTTTGTTTTTTGTGACTCGGACTCTGTCTTCTGTGTGTGATTGTGTTTAAGACCTGTCATTCTAATACGCGTCACCATATCAGCTGCAGTGACCATTAACTGAGCAGGCTGCCGCTGGGGAGGACCTGGGTTTGGCGCCTTACACACCTGTGTTTCATCCTCTCAGTCCTGCCCAGCAAGGTGACGCTATATATTCTTCTCATTGTGCAGACCTGTGGGAGCTCCCTGGCTGGCAGGTGGTGGGCTCACCAACTGAACCTCACGTCCGCCTCTGCTTACTGCCCTATGCTTTTTTGATCCTCTGCCCCCTGGCCTGTAGTCTTGATGCAGCAGCAGATGCAGATGTCCCTCTGGGGGCCCTGTGCCTGTCACTGTGTTGGCTGATCGTCAACAGTGTGGCCCTCACGCTCCCCTTACTCATTATGACTTACTTGTCTTGCTCCCTTCTCTGTGGGTTGGTGAAACTACCTGCAGGAAGTAGAACATTTACTCAAAGAATCCATAAATTCGCTAATTAAGCCAAAAGTCACCGGTCCATCTCCCAAAGATGGATGAGTTCCAGGACTGCTGCCTTTAAGACCCCCACCCCAAGATGTCACGGAGAGCTGCTTCTGACCAGAAGACAGTGACGGAGAAGGTGTGGAGCCCTCTGAAAATCCAGCTACCTCATTTCTGCCCTGAAACATCTCACTTGCTCTGAAGGCAGGTTCCCGCAACGTGACACAGGGATGCTTCCCCTGCGGGCCATCCCAGCTGCGCCTCCCTCAGACTTTATTTTGCGGATCTATGGAAATGGCCACCTTGGTATGGCCGCTCGGGGGGCTGCCTGTCCTGCAAGGCCCAGGGCTCTGGAGAGGGCACAGACCACATGTGCTTCGCTGCCTCCCGCACCTTCCTTCCCAGCCTAAAGCCTGGAAAACAGAACGAAGCCATTCGGGGGATGAATGGCGTCATTCTTTATTCCGGCCGCATGCACATGTGGGTTCTGTAGTCCTTTATCTCCAGCCCCCTCTACCTCCGGCCCCTCTGCTGCTTCCTGCCTCCCTCCCATCTCTCCTGCTAGCTCAGCCTGCTTTCTGGCATTGGGCTGTTTCCATAGCAATGCTCCCTGGCCTCTGAGTGGAGACTGAACCTCAGCCTCCCTAAAGCGATTAGGGGAGTGCAGAGTGTGCATATGTTCGGCTATCTGACTAGGACAGCTTGCTGGGGCAGCAGGATTTTTTAAAAATGACTTTTACATTTTGCATTACTTTCAGATTTATAGAAGAGTTGCAGTGATAGTTCAGGGAGCTCCGGCCTACTCCTCACCCAGTCTCCCCCGTTATTAACATCTCATGTTACAAAGCAACATTTACTAAAACTAAGAAGGCGCTACTGGGTACACCGCTACCCACTAAGTTCCAGGCTTTGTCCGGGCTTTGCTGGGTAGTGCTCTGAAGTCCTTTTCTGTCCTAGGGGGCCATGCGGGACACACGCTGCGTTCAGCTGTGGTGCTCTGGGCTTCCCCTGGCCTGGATAGGCTCAGCCCTCCCTCGTTTTCCGCCGCTAGGTGGGTGGCATCTGCTTGATGGCATGGAAGTGCGTCTCCAGGGGCCCGTGCTGCTCACGACAGCTGGGCTGGGGGTGGGGACGCTGCTGAGAAGGAAGCCTGCCGCCAGCTGGGCTGGCTGTCCTGGCCCTGCGGCCACTGTCTGGGTACCTGGCTTTTCTCTGCATTCCTTTCTCAGCTGTAAGACCAGGGGGACGGGCACTGGGAGATTAGTGTGGGGAGTAGGGAAGTGGTAAGTGGGAAACTCATGTTCTCCACTCATGTCTTAGAAGAATCCAAGCTCGTGCTGAAGGTGAGTGAGTGGTACTTGTTGTAAGCGTGGGTTAAGTGTTCCCGAGGGACCATGGGGATGGTGCTGTGGGACAGGCCGAGAGGAAGGGTGAAGGACAGAACTGAGGAGAGAGTGAGACCTCCTTAGTTCCTTCCCTCCTCCTCCCCGCACCCTTGAGAACTGAGTGCTGCCCAGCTGCTGAGGGGCCAGGGTGGGGGGCGGAGGAAGAGACAGTGTAGAGCAGGAAGGCCCTAAGGGGCAGGCCCGTCTGCAAGGAGGAGGAGGAGGAGGAGGAAGGGATTATTTGAGTGTCCTGAATGACGCCAGGTGTGAGGGAGAAAGCAGGACAAGGGGCTGGGCTTCCCGTGGCAGTGGCCTTCCTGGAGGCTTCCTTCGGATAAAGCCACTCAGGCTGCTGCAGGGCCCCAAGCGTCACCTCTGCCGCCACGGCTTCCTTCTTCTCAGGGCCTCTTGCGCTCGAGTGAGCTCAGGCACCTTTCTCCTGCGCGTAGAACTGCGTGCGCTAAGTGATGTCCCCCACTCAGCATGCGGTGCCGTCACGGCCTGCTTGCTGTGGGGCCCGGCCTGAGGCGGAGACCCTAGTGCGTAAGTGCTGCTAGGTGAGCCGTGAGCACACGTGTCTAGGAGGGGAGGCTGTGGGCACTGGGGCCCCTCCACGAAGGCAGTGGCAGTGGCGCACCTTGGGTGGCACAGAGGAGGGGCCCAGCACTGGCTTTGTCCCTGGCCCTCTGGGGCTGTGGATAATCGAGCTTCTTGACCACAGCTTCCGCCTTTGTGGAGATAGCACCCACCTGGAGGCCCCTTCCCTTCTGTGAGCTCTCACTTCCACCTGGAGCACCAAGCAGGGAAGGAACAGGACACGGGCGTGGAATCGTGATGGTGGCCAGCACACGATACGGGATCTCTTGAAACACGCAGAAGTGCAGGGAGTATCGACCCTGCATTAAGACACGAAGAAGACATGAAACACCGCTGAATATGAGTCGCATCGGCCCCGTCCCTGACAGTGATATAATTTAGAAATGAACAGCACAGCCGTAGTCCACCCAAGCTTCCCTGTGTCGGAAATTTAAACACACCTTTTGAAGTAACTCTTGACTTAAAACAGAAATGACGGGAAAAACAGAAGGAAATCCTAAGGAGAGCAGTAAATATCAAAATTTGTGGGAGGGTAGCTGAAGCAGGATTTAAATGCGTATAGTTTTGTTTTTCCTTGATACTGTCTTTGACGGTGTGATCAGTCTTACATTATGTCTGGTGGACTGAGCAACTTGGTTGAAGAGAATAGTATGTAATGTAGCAGCCATGGTAAATTCCTGTCATTTTGTTTTGAGGTCATGTATCATTTTTGTTGTTTTTGTATTTTGATTTTGGCTTCATTGTTGTTTTGCCAGTTTTTTAAATTTTTGAAATAAAAAAATTTAAAAGGAAAGTAAAAGTAAATTCTGTGACTACATGAAAGCTGCTTTTCATCAGAAACCTCAAAACTAGCCTAAGAACTGCTGCTTTCTTATCAATACATGTATTAACACACTCCTACGTAATAGTTGCATTCACTGCGGGGAGTCGGGATGGGTACGTAACCCATATTAATTCTTTTATTTCTACCTCCTCCCCAGCAGAAACTGTGCTGTAGACCATGTGGTGAGTCGGGCACGTATCCAGTGTGGCTGTGAGCATGTCACACGTAGCTCATGGGATTCTTACGGCAATTCTATGAGCAGATTATTCTGGTCATATTGCATATGAGGAAACTGAGGCACAGAGGAGTTAAATAATTTTTTCGAGATCGCATGGCTACCCGTGGCAGAGCCAGGGTTCAGCAGGAGGTCAGATGTATCTCTCTGTATCCACACACGTGCACATTAGTAGGCTCACAGGTGCCGGGAGCCTTCTCTTTCATGCACGAAGGTTGGTCCAACTTAGCTTTGTGGCTGGTGCATTGTCCCCTAACATACATAAGTGTGTCTCCAGGACAGCACAGGACTGCACCTTCAGGTGGCCTGTAAAGCTCTGAGCAGGGGCTTTGGGATCCCACAGACCTGCTTTGGGGTCCTGATGATGCCATTTGATAGCTGATTCACTGGAAGAATTAACCTAACGAAGCAGCTGCCTTGTGGGTCAGTGGGGACAGTCATATTTGTCTTTAGTAGGGCTGACGAGAGGATGAAGTGGTATATTTGACAACATGAATGCCTGTGACAAAGTACACACACGGGTATCACCTATGGCACTGTCACGGCAGGACATCTTATCTACTTTGCTCCGGTCCAGCTGTCCACTGTCTTACTGGCTTTGCCCTAATCTGAGAATGAGTTTATTCCTCAGTGTTGTCTTCTTTTGCTCAGGGCTAATGCTTCAGTTGCTCAGCTAGAGCAGCATCTTGAAAGTAAAAGCAGGAGGCTCCCTTAGTGTATCATCATCCACCGATTTCCTCTTGGATCATCTGACAAGGGTGTTGCAGAAGATGTGATTCGGCCCAAAGGGGAAGTGTGTCCTGGGGTCAGAGAACCTGGTAGAGAAAGCTCAGTGCAATGCACTGGCTCTTTAAATGGGGAACAGAGAGCGCTAGTGCCACACACTCAGCACACTTTCTGCTCTTCAAAGAAGAGGGATGGCAGACAGGTGCAGGGCCGGGCGCGGGGTGTGCTCAGTTCCAGGAGTGAGGGGGTGCCTGTGGGAATCCAGACCCTGCTTCTTGAGGAGGCAGGCTGCGGACGTGGGCAGCAGGTGTAGGACCACCAGATGCCATCATCTCTCTGGGCCAGAGGGAGAAGGGCACCGTCTGGGGCCACGGAGCAGGGTCTGTCTACGGGTGAAGGACTGCTTCATGTGGCAGGCAGAGGTGTGCAAATCTGCACTCACCTTCACCACCCGCCGTCCCAGACTGGGTGTCCCTTCCCGGGTGTGGCTGTATACCCCAGAAGGTCCTCGGGTGGGGAAGCCCTGGACCCTCTCACCTGGGGCGTGAACTGAGCATACTTCATTTGGGATGATTTTCTTTTTCTTTCTTCGCCCTTTTCCCTTCTCCTCTAATCGTGTGAGCCTTATGGGAACTTAAGGTACTGATTTAAACTTAAATTGCTGCCATGTGTTTACGTAGACGGGAACAAGGAACTCATCTCTTTTTCCAGTTCTTCTGAGGAGGTGTCTCAGTTACTCTTCTTGCTGCTCAGACAAAATACCCAACACCCAAAGTTAAAGGAGGAAAGGTTTACTTAGCACACAGTTTGGGGAAGTTTCAGTCTGGAATCAGCTGGCTCCAGGGCAGGGTGGCACATGGCACAGGGGCAACAGTTTAAGGGGGTGGAAGACAGCAAAAGTGAGAAGAGCAGAAGTGGGGCAGAGCAAGCGTCTTCCTGCCTTATATTGTACGCAGGCTACCCGCCCTAGGGTGGGTGTAGCACTTGGGTTACTTTTCTCTCATTGCTGGGATAAAATACCTGACACCCAAAATTAAGGAAGAAAGGTTTACTTAGCTCACAGTTCGTGGAGGGTTCTGTCCATGGTCGGCTGGCTCCAAGGCAGGGTGGCATGGCACAGGGCAACGGTTCATAGCAAAGCAGGGCAGGCAGAAGTCAGTAAGCTACAAGCAGCAAGCAACAGCAGCCCTCTCTCCTTCCTTTTGATTTTATCCAGGCTGCCCACCTTTGGCACTCATACCCTTAATCCTAGCATCCCATCCTTGATCCCAGCATCACATACCCTGGACCCAGCCACCTCTGAAAAGCCCCACCTATGACCACATGAGGCTCTGGAGGGACATCTAGATAGAAGCTATAGTAGGAGGCACCTTATTTATCCACTTTTGTGGTTTCCTTCCTTTTCTCCCTTCTCTCTTTGTTTTTTGACAGTAGGACTTTTGTTCCCTTTTACAGTGCTAGAGATGCAACCCAGAGCTTTGCACATGCCAAGCAAGTGCTCTGCCGCTTTGCTATCCCCCCAGTGCAATAGTAGGACTCTTTCTTAAAATGAAATCAATTCAGCTGTGGTGATAAAAGTATGTAGTAGCGAACCTGGGCAGATTGAACAGGTGAGGCCTGACTGCCTGGGTGGATTTTGAGGCACCCTTGAGGTATCCTGGGGTTCCCCCCAGACCTCAGTTGAAAGTGAAGCTCCTAACTTGGTGAGAAGACCGAAGCTGGACAAAGACAAGAGTTGTCCTGAGGCCCGTGGCTCCTCCCCTCTGGGCTGGGTGCTTTCTGCAGTCCTAGCCCCGGCCCTAGGTGAGGCACTTTCTGGCCAGGGCCAGCGCAGCTGAGGGTTGGGAACGGAGCTCCTGCGCCTGGGCCCCCACTCTGGGCGTCCGGAGCTAGCAGACCATATATAACTGCTAACTTCTCTGGCCTGCAGTTTCTCAGCAGCAGCATCTGAGTGGGATTCAGTGCCACAGTGTCCGACGGGCAGCTAGGGCACGGTGACCACCAAGCACCTCACAGGGCTGAGCTGTGCAGCTGACCTGTGCTCAGGTGGACAGTGTGCAGAGGCCGGTGAGGGACCGTGGGCATCCGGGAAGAGGAGTCACAGGCCGAGTTGCTCGAGGCGGAGCTCTGGGCACCTCGGTGCGCCCTACTCTCCCCAGAGTGGAGGCTGTCGGTCCGCCGTCCTTTCTGGGATTTGCGGTACGTTCCGGGGTGGGCTGAGGGGTGCCCGGGCCTCAGTTGCAGTTCAGCGTTGTCTAAGTCATTGGTAGCCTCTCCCTTCTGGTGTGAGAAGCATCAGGGGCTGGGCAGGAGGAAGTGGGGGGCTGGTGGGGCTCGAGTTTCCATTTTCTGGTAGCTGGTCTTGCAGCTCCCCTAACCGTCCTATTACCCCATGGCTTCATTCTCTGATAATGCAGCTGAAGTTCTCGTCTCAGCTGAGGGCGGTCATGTGAGCTGAGGATAAAGGGCACTGGGCGCTTTCCTGCCCTTGGTCCCTGCAGGCCTTTGGACTTTAAGAGCTGCCTTCTTGGAAGGGAAGAGGCCCCTGCCCAGGACCTGGTAGAGGCTGCCATGAGGAATCCTGGGGTGGGGCCAGGTTCATGAGACCACAGAGGGTGGGGAGGACGGCTCCGCCTTGCATTTCTGACCCAGATGAGATGTTGTTTTATGCTTTGGAAGCAGCATGCTGCAAGGTGAAAACTGCACGCGAGGATGGACAAGCAGAGACCTGAGCTCTAGCCCCGTCTGTGTCAGTGACCCATTATTTGGTCGTGGGCTTTGGTTTCTGCCTGTCTAGGGGAAGGGACTCAGTGGTAAAGTCCGTAAGGTTGCGTTTAGCTCCTCAAGTCCTGTGCCCTCTCCTCACGCTCCCCCTGCTTTTCCTCAGATACTCAGACCTGGGTGAAGCAGTGAGGACCCGACTCAGCGAGCTCTCATGCATGGTGACTTTACTGAGTTCTAACTATGTGCTATATACTGTATAAGGAAGTTTAAAATTTTATCTTCACATCGGTCCTGGCTGACCGTTAGTTTATCTCTCTTTCTCTGATACATGTCTGCGTTTATGAAATATATATCTATACGTCTGCATCTGTAGCCATAGGAAATATACATATATACACAGAATGATAGAGACACTCTTTCATATATATATAATCGGGCATGCTGGTGCACGCTTAAAATCCCAGCACTCTGGGAAACTGAGGTGGGAAGATTGCAAGTTTGAGCCTGATCTGGGGAATTCAGCAACTTTGTGGACTCTGTCTCAATAAAAGGGGGCGGGGGCTAGGAATATAACTTAGTGAGAAGGCCCTGGCTTCAATCCCTAGTACTAAAAAGACATATATACACATGGTGCCATTTCTCTGTGCATATTAGAAATCACATATATATGTGTAAAATCTGAATAGAGGATGGTGGCAGGAGGAGGAGGGTGCACTTTTCAGGGTTTTTCTGTTGTAACACCTGGGGTGAAGTTTGGGGGTGTTGGTCGGCCTGCTACCACGCAGTGACAGGCAGATTTGTCGACTGACACCTATTCCCTTGTGATGCGCCCAGCCTTGTGCCAGGTGCCCCGCAAGTGCTACGACTCACGTTATTCCTGGCCACACCTTGAAGTGGAGCTGGAAGGCTGACATCACAACTCATACAACTGTCAGCTAACAGTGAACTGGAGAAGTGGGACCGGAGGGAGGTCTGAGGGCTGAGTCCGGACAACAGAGGGAGGGGAGTGGCGGCGGAGGAATTGGGTCCAGGGCCAACAGACAGCCGAGGGCAGGAGGAAATGTGGGTGCAGGTGGCGGGGGGCTGCACAGCCAACTTGCAAAGGGTGCTGACGGGCGGGCGTGGTGGGGACCCTGGGGAACCGTGCCGCTGGGAGGAAAAGGGGCTGTGGTGGAGTTGGAGCAGAGTCACTGAGTGCTTGGGCTGCCGCAGGGGTGCGATAGAGGCTGCCCTCAGGCAGCGTCGGGAACACACTGTGACTCCTCCGCTGGAGAGGAGGAGATCGAGAGTCGGAGGCGTTAAAGCGTGTGTTTAGGGCTCTGTGACAGCATGTGATGAGGCCAGTTGCGCAAGCTTGGTCCTCATGGCGCTGGGGACCTGACCTGTTGGCTTAGCCTGTGGGAAGGAGGGGGGGAGGAGGAGGGGACTGTGCCTTTACACCCACATCTTCGTGGCTGGCTGATGGGAAACTGACGTTCGTCAGGCCCTGGTGTGTGAGCCCGGGTGGTGCTGAGAGCTCTGCGTTGCTGTCTCCCCAGCCTCGTAAGTCAGGAGGGAGGCGGTGCTACTGCCACTCACAGCACAGCCCTCGGTGGCCGTCCCGCAGGCAGTAGCTGCTGACAGCAGGCTTTGGGCCTGGGTTGTGGGGTACCAAAGGCTTCTCCTTCCCAGGTCACTGCCTGCGGCTGGACCTGGGGCATGGGGGATCCCTGCGCAGATTGTACAGGCCTGAGAACTTCCTGTTGTGACAGAGCTGGGTGCCTGTCTTCCATGCTGCGGGCCACTGTCGCTCTCAGTCTCTGGAAACTTCTCATCCGTCATCCTCGATGACAGCCTCCTTACACTTCCTGAGCTTGTGCGATGTCGTGAGGGTGCAGTGTGCACACGTGTGTGTGTGTGTGTGCACGCGCCCATATTCTTGTGGTCGCTGCCTCAGTGTGTGTCCCTAGCCCCTGAAGAAGGATACCCACCATCAAAGCTGGTGACTGGCCTCTAGAGGAAGACTGGGCTCCTCTTTCCTGGTGTGGATGACGTAGATCTTCCCACAGAGGCTGCCGGGAGGCCTGCGTGTTGGTGATGCTCGACCCAGGGCCACGGTTCCATGTTTAGAGACTGCTGGGTGGGTGCAGGCCCCTGGTCTCTGTGGAAGCCGGTTGTTTATTTAGCTAAAGTGGACGCAGTTTCCGTCATGTGCCTCGTTTGCTGTACGTACTCAGACACAGGCGGAACTCATAATGAAAAGCAGCGTGCCAGGCCTCCCTGCCAGTGATGGAGCTGACCCTGCTAAGTGAAGGGCACCGTGGGACTCACTGAAAGAGCACAGAGCCTGCCCCAGGCCGAGGGCCCCGAGGGGCAGGCGCCCGCCTTTGGCTCACCTGGCCCCTTCCACTTCACGCACTCGTACGGTTCCCAGGCCTCCTGGGGCTCGCGTTGTGACAGGTGGTCTTCCCAGAATCATGTGGGGAAGGAGCCCTGGGCAGGCAGGCAGATAGACAGACAGATATATCCATGTAAAGAATTGATGCTATCTGCTTGTAATCCTGGCCTTCTGGGATGCTGAGGCAGGAGGACTCTAAGTTTGAGCTTAGCCTGGGCGATTTAGTAACCTAGTGAGAGCCTCTCTCAAAATTAAGAAAAGGGCCACTGCAGGGCATGAAGAAGGGAACCCCACCCCACCCCCGACAGCCGGGGTGAATGAGGTCAAGGGTGCTGGGCCGGGGCGGGAGGCTTACTTTTCCTTCTAAACAGGAGCTCTGGGACAGGCGGCAGCGCAGAGCATTTCCTTTCTAATAAATAGTGGTTTCTAAAAACAGGAAGACCTGGGCTCCCACGGCGAGCTTTGGAGGGCTGTGTCTGGAACTCATCTGAATGGTGGGGAGGGGAGGCCCGGATCCAACAATGGCGCAGAGTCAGCCAGTGCTCATGTTTACCTGTGTGATTCTGGCTGAGTTTCTAAACCTCCCAAGTTCTGCATTCCTCCACTAGAGCGAGGTATATAATACGACCACCACCACCACCGCCGACAGGGGCAAGGCTGGCATCGGGCTGGGGGCGGGGCTCAGTGTGGCCTGCCTGCCTAGCTTGGGAGACGCCCCAGGTTCCACCCCAGTTTTTTGCACCAAAAAACCAAACCCAACCCAACCCTGGCATTTACCAAATACCAGATACCATGGTGGGCCAGACCCTGTGCAAATGTCTTTTATATTCATTCTTTCATTTATGCCTTAACTCTATGAAGTAGGTGGCGGTGTCAGCTTTTAACGACACAAAAACTTAGGTCCAACGAAATGAGTATTGTTCACCCCTCCCGTCCTCTTCCTTTGCCCTCTGTAAAAAGCCAGTGCGTGGCAGAGCTTGGATTTAATTTCAGACGATACAACAGCAGAATCTGCTGTTATGACTCTTAAAGGTAATCATGTGTAAAAACTTAGCGGTTCCTGGAACTCGGGGAACATTCAGTAATATCCTCTTTTATCCTCTGCTCCTTTGTGTCTTGCAGAAGCAGCTGACACAGGATGACGACACTGATGAGGTGGAGATCGCCATCGACAACACAGCCTTCATGGATGAATTCTTCTCTGAGGTGGGCAGCCTTCCTGCATTTTATTCTCAGTGTACATAAAGAGACACAGCTTCCTTTGTAAGAACATAAAAACCTCGAATCACTTCAGAGTGGCAGAGGGAGGTCACAGCCTTTTGCTTGGGTGGGGTGGCTGGTTGAAGACATTACTGAGAGATCATGTTTTTTTAGTTTGTCCTTAACCTTATTAAGAAAGTCAGCAGAGGGAAAATTATATGTAATTGAAGATGTGCTGTTAAAATCTTATGCTACATGGCAGCACTTTAATGATATCCCTTCTTCCTAAAGAATATAATTTAAATACATAATTGACCTAGGTACATAGCCAGGAATATGAAAAATCATTGCATTGCTAGGCTTGTGATTCAGATAGATCAAGTTTATTGTTTCCAAACCTTTTTGTAGTGCCTTCCGCTTAATACTAGTGCTAACAGAGAGACCAAGAAACCACATTTAGTTTTGTAAAGTCTAACAGGGGCAGGTCATCCATGTCTGCAGATTCGCCTGCTCACTCTTTGATCTTCAAGGTATCTCATGGGGATGGTGCACAGATCAGTGGAAGTTGTGGAGGCAGGAGTGGATCAGGGACAGGAATGCTGGTCTGGTCTGGAATCTCAGCCTGTTTCTGACCAGCTAATGATTTTTGTTAATGTTCCTTAACCTGCTGACATTGGTTTCTTCATCTGTAAACTGGGATCAATAATATAATAATTTCCTGTAGACTTAGTGTAAGAATTGAGACAATGCTCATCAAATAGCACTTAACGACAACCACAACAATGAAAAACAACCCCAAAAGCTTACTGTTGAAGTTTTTTTCCACTGTACTATGGTTTCTAATTTTTTTTTTTTTTTTTGTCTTTTTGAGGCAAGGTCTCGCTATGCAGTTCAGGCCGGCCTTCAGCTCGCTTTGTAGCCCAGGCTGGCCTCGAACTTGCAAAGATCCTCCTGCCTCAGCCTCCCAGTGCTGGGATTACAGGCGTGCGCCACCACGCCCGGCTGTACTATGGTTTCTTTAGTTTTTTTATTTCTCTGGGGGGTCAGGGGGGTTTCAAAAACCAAGAGGCATTGTATTCTTTTTGCAGAGAGAATTTGGGTACTTCCCATCCTCTGGGTGATGGATGTCTTCTCTAAAGGGAGTGGACTGGGGCTTGCCAGTGCATGCCTGATGACCTGTGAGAGAAGTGACCTGTGCGCGTGCTGTTGACCAGGGAGCTGGGGACGAACCTCTCCAGCTCACCACCAGGCTTGTGAGTGGGTCTGTCCTTTGCTGTAGGGTCACTGCGAGATCCGGCAGAGCCTGCCTTTGTGAGCTCAGTGTTAATCCACTGTGGGTGTGGAAGGACAATGTCCTTCTCTGTTCAGAGGTGGGCGGACTTGAGGAGATGTTTGAAGACACTGTATCTTGTCCCAGCAGTCTTACCCTGGCCAACTATATGCAATAGAGAACCTCTGCCCTAAGATAAAAGGAATCTTCTCCAATAACTGAGTTCTTCTCCTAAACCAGAGGGAGGGTCCTTGAAAGGCAGATTCCTTGTGAGGTGGGAAGGTGGTAGCCTTCATGGCTTGACTCCAACCTCTAGCATTTCAAGGCACTGTGACCTTGGCCAAATTTCTTAAGCTCTGAGCTTTGATTTCTGCTCTGGAAACTGGGAATGTTAGTCCTCAATCTTTCAAGGCCTGTTGTAAGCATCACAAGAGCTCACACATCTGGCAAGAGTTATCTGGACAGAAAAGCACCGGGTAGACAAAAGGTGTTTTCAGAGACTGAGCAAGATCTTCTGGCTTCTTCATGGTCTTATTGCTTTCTTTCCTTACCTTGTTCCTTCTTGATCATCTCCTTAGTTGGCAGAGAGGAAAATTGCTGAGGAAACAGCTGCCTTTGGAGGCTGAAACGTTAGGGGTTTATTACTCTGCGTTCATTCATCCGTCAGAAATGTCTGAGTGCTTGCTGTCCTCCAGACCGGATGTGCCGTGTTGGGGATACATCACTGTGTGTGACAGGGCCCTTGCCTTGTGTCTTCAGTTGTCCTACGAGAACAGAAATGTCAGGAAGATACCATGGGCGCACAGACAAGAAAGCGCAAAGTTCCCCCTAGAGGAAGAACTTTGCTTCTCAGCTGGACTTGTGCATCCGCACCCCAGAGCTTGGACATACACAGACCTTGGTCCCAGGCCACAGGGCAGCTCAGACTTGGGTTTTTCAGAAGTTCTGCCAGATGATTTTGTGACCTACGACAGTGATGAGCCCCTGCAAAGTGATGCGGAGTCTTTGAGGGTTCTCAGTGAGGAAGTGCTGGGGTCAGAGTGTGTTTCAGAAAAATCAGTCTATGGCAGTTTGTAGAGGGGAGGAAAGGCCAGCAGGCTGGCTGCTGCAGCAGTCCAAGCAGAGAAGAGTGGGAGTTCTGACTGATCTGGGTCTGAGCCCCAAGGGCAGCGGGGTACGTCCTGGGACGCTCTTGACTAAAGCAGGCTTGGAGTTAGGAGTGGGGTGGGAAGTGTCAGGGGTCGGGCCCGCATCTCTAAGAGCCTCTGGACTTTTCCCAAAGGATTGAGAGGGTGAGGCTGTTCTGGTTATGTTGTTGTGTAATGAATACTTATGGTGTGGAACAACCCGTTTGTTGTGCTGATACTCGTCTTTATTAGGAATTGGTCAGGCCCAGTGGGAGCGGCTTATCTCACCTCCACCATTTCTGGAACCTTGGTAGGGAAACTTGAGTAGCCAGAGGCTAAGAAGCTCTACTGTAGGGACTTGTGTATTCCGACATCTGGCACAGCGACTGGGGTGACACAAAGGAAAACCTGGGGCGAGACTGTCAATCAAAGCCGCTACCCTTGGCCTCTTTCTGTGCTTGGGCTTCTCGTGGCATAGTTTCCCCAGGGTCCTTGGATTCCGCTGGGGGGCAGGAATCTCTGCTATTCTGTTTTGTGTTCCTTTTATTTTATTACTGTAGTATCTGCTCAAGATATATAATAATTATACTTGTTTGGGGGATGGCATACACGTGTCGTATCTTGAGCATTTCTGATCCCCTTCTCCTCCCCACCTTTACTCCTTCTCCATCCCCTGAAGTCTGCCTTCTTGTTTCCTACTAGCCTTTACTTTCACATTCATATTGGGATTCTCATGTAAGAGAAACCATGTGCTGTGTAACCTCCTGTGTCTGACTTATTTTACGTGGTCTCAAGATAATTTATTTTCCTACAAGTGGCTCAAATTTATCCTGTTTATCGTTGAGTATATATATATATGCCTCATTGTCTGTAGTCACTGATGTCTTGAGGGGCATCCAGGCTGTCTCCATGGTACAGCTACTTCGAACTACATGCCATAAACGTGTGTGTGTGTGTGTGTGTGTAACTATTTCTAAAGACATCATACTGCAGTGACATATGCATACCCATGTTAATAGCAGCATAGTTCTGTTGCGCTGTGTCACCGAAGCAGTCAGAAGCTACAGATTCGAGCAGAAACCTCTTAATGGGAAGAGCATCAAAAAATCTGTACCCTTTATGAGATGAGACCGCCACAGAGTTAAGAGTTCCACTTGGCGCAGCCTTGCACCAGCATCACCAGCCACAAGAGTAGGTGCAGCGAGAAAAGCCCCCAGATCTTTCTATCAGGGAGGAAAACCAGCCGTCCTCCCAGCTGACGTGCCCCCTTCCCCCAGGCTGAGTGGCTTGGCCAAGCCAGCCCCCAGCTGGAAGGGACGCCAGGGAAGTGAGTAGGTATCAGAGGGACAGCATTGCCAGGATGGCTGCGGAAGCAAGCACAGTTCATCCTCTGGGCTGGTGGGATCAAGTTCTTAAGGGCAGAGTCGGGGAGGTTGTTTAGTGAGTCAGTCCCAGTGCTTTTCGGGGGAGGGCAGATACATATTGTGATCAGTAGGTTGGAGGAATTCTTGTTTTTCCTCTTAGAAACTGAAAATGCCCATTGCCCCTTCCAGCACAAAGAAGTCCTATAGTAGCAAACTTTGCCTCATGTGGCTGTCCCAGCATTTTGTTTTTCACAGACCTTTCTGATATGGAACTTCCATTAATGAGGAAATGCTCTTAAAGCATAAAGTCATGGTCTTCTTTTTCGGGTTCTATCTTCATGTGGGCTGCCGCTACAGATGCTATAGAATGGACAGCTTATAAATAATAGAGGCTTATTTCCCACCATGCTGGAGCCTGGGACTCTGAGTCCAAGGTGGCAGCAGTGTGGGCTCCGTACAGGCTGCTGACTTCCCGTTGCGTCCTCACATGACAGCAAGAGAGCCAAGCGAGCTTCTGGCCTCTTCTTCGAAGGCACTAAGGCCACTGACGAGAGTTCCACGCGGGTGACCTAATCGCTTACCGAGGGCGCCAGCTGTAAGCACCATCCCAGGGGAACCAGGCACCAGGCTCGCGGTTTGCATGTGCCGCGACACAGACGCGGAGCCCACAACAGCAGTTAAGCAGATCTGAGATGATTCTGCGGTGAGTGAAGCGTGCTGTCTCTTGAAGTTACTTGTGCTCATTCATTTCTCGACCAACGGCTACTGAGTGACACCCTGTGCCGACACAATAGTGGGTATCAAGTGGTCTAGGGCAGGAAAGCCACAGTCCCAGCCCTTGAAAAGACCTGAGTCAGGACTGGCCAGCGTGGTGGTCGGGGGGTGTCGAGCAGTACCTGGCTAGAGGAACCGCACGGCGGCCAGTCTCGGCGCATAGGAATTTGTTGGACAGGCTTGACTTTTGCTAGAAGAACTAAAACCCCCAAAGTGAGTGTAACTTGGAAATGAGGTATGAAGTCAAATCTGCAGGTTACATAGGTTCCAATACTTCTTAACCCTGGGAGCAGGATATTTAAATGACAAAGACTCCCTGGGTGAGCTGGAGACTTTGCATCTCCCAGCTCTTTCAATAAGGCAGCCAGGAAGCCTTGGCCAGTCATTTGCTCTGCGGCCCCCTCCTGCCCTTCGTGTTCGGCCCCGAATTTCCAGCTGGCCTTTGGCATGCCGGAGCAAGGGCAGTGCGATGGGGAGGTGACCTACGGTACCCCCACCCCACTCATACGTTAAGCCTAATCCAGACTGGATTTCCCGGCCGCTAGGCCTGTAGCAGTGTGTGCTTGTGGTTCAGGTCACCGAGTCTCAGGCTTCACTCCGTGGCGCGCCCACCTGCCGCTGCTCCCTCAGCACACCTCACTGCCCTCAGGTTGTGCTCTTGGCCCCCATCCCTGTGTAAGAAATGTATTGTGTTGTATTGCTTTGGTCAAAATAACTACATAGGCTTCTGTTTCCTTGGCTAAATTTTAAGCGGCCCAAAGCCCAGACACACTTAACTGACTGGAAATTATTGTCCAGGAAAGCTTGTTTGGCCGGTCAGTGTAACTCGGAGATCACTCTGCTCTCTCCATTCATAAAAAGAAAGCTGGACGCTAGAGGTGCCAGGGAGTTTTGGAGAGGCAGAGACAAGTTCTTGAGGAGCACAAACAAAGCTGTTTTGCTTATTCTCTCACCTTATCCCACAGCAACTGCCTGTTCTCTAAAGTGATACTTTCTTTGCTTTCCATTGTCTAATTAGATCCCTCTGGCTAGTTAAATCCAGAGGGTGCGGCCAGCCATACCTTGAACCCTGACTTCCTTTTAGGACGAGATAGTGGATTGGACACTGTGGTCAGATAATGGGCAACGCCCAGGAGTGGCTGAGTGAAGAGCGGGTGACTTGCTGTCTTTCTGTGGCTACTGATGACATCAGCATTGCCGGAAGGATTAAATGGGACATGCTTTTAAAGGGACGGCACAGTAGCTGCATATAATAAGTATGTAGCAGGTGCTACTTTTCATGTTTATCACGTCGTCATCTAATGATTCCTGAGTATGTATTTTGTGTTAAGCATTTGACCTGAGCTTGTTCAAGGTCATGAAACTGCTAAGAGGTAGAGCCAGAACTTGAATCTGAGCTGTCTGGTCCTAATTTATTAAGTCCTGTTATCTGGATTCTTGTATTACCGATGATCACTGGCAAATACATTTAAAAAGGAAACGTATAATAAGAAAGCCTTGGGGACATTACTAGCTGGAAATTTAGCATGGTGACTAAGAAAAGAAACATGTTTAGATTTGTTCCCTTGGTCCGTGATGTTTCTCACTCTATAAGCCCCACAGAGAATGGCGGTCAGAGGACAGAGAAACAAGGCACGGGAGCCCCATGAAGTGCAGCTGAAGCAGTCTCATGAGACACGAGTTGAACACAGAACACAGAACTTTAATCTGACGTAGGCGAATGCACGGGCACTTAGGAGAGGAGGTGGGGCCCCTTCCACGGGGGTTGTTACATATTTGCCAGGCCCAGAAGACGGGGTTTGTGTCTCACAGATGCCTTGGTTTTGCTTCTTCCTGCAGGATGGGTTGGAGTAAGTTCCTCTCCCTCCTTGAGTCTCAGTTCTTTTATATAAAAAGGACATAACGACAGTGACTGCATAGAATTACTGTGAAGGGCTAAGCATCACGTCTGATATGTTTAATCGATTTTAGTTCATAAGTATATAATTTTCCACAGAATGGCAGCATGCTTGACCCTCCCTGCCCCATATGAACAGCTCTTTAGCTTTTAGGTCGGGCACCTCGGTGCTATTAGCCACCCTCCCCCATCATTTTCTAGTTCTCTGGCAAATACCCAAGAGGAAATCACATACAGCTGCCACCATAAAATACTCAGAAAGTCACCTTTGAGGAGAACCAGTGGTTTCTAGAAAAAACAAAGACACTGAGTTCTGAAAAAGAAAGCTGTATGCTTTGCTCCTTGTCCGTCTTGAAATCCTGAAGGGCTTTGCAATTCTTTGGCAAACTGGCTAATAGGCTGTGTAATCAGAGACCCTGAAATGCCTTCAGAAAGTGAGGTTGCCGAGGATGGGGGAGAGAGAACGCTACCGCGGGGGTGGGGCGGGGGAATGAGGGTGCGGCGCGGTGCTCCCGGCCCGGGACAGTCAGTAGGCAGGTCCATGGACACCCACGGTGCCTGGGGTGATCCTGGGCTCCAGGCCTCTCAGACTCATCCTTGCGATTTTCCATGTCCTGTCTTGCTGCCACTGACCGGAGTTTGGGCCAGGATGCCCTTCAGTGCATCAGGTAATTTTCCAGAAGAGATTTCCTCAGACAACCCGTGTGAAATACCAGAGGCCTCTTGGCTGGTTTAAACGGCTGGACTCGTTTTAAATTGGTTAGTACACTTTATTCTAGAAAGCCCTTTTCTCTCAGTGCCATGAAACTGTGTAGTTACTTTGGTGCGGCAGCCTTGTGGCGTTTTATGAGTTACAGGAGGAGCCAGTGTGGCAGAGGAAGGGGAAGGGCAGGGGAGGTGGGGCTTTCTGGAAGTGCTGACGCCTCCCCAGTCACCGGTATTCCTAGGTGCTACAGTATGCGTAGGTGGTAACGCAGGCTCTTTTTGTAATGAAGTACTCTTGGGACCCTGCTAAAAATGAGCAGTATGGAAAAGAAGAGCAGAGACTCTTAGGTCCAGTGGAAGGGTTATCTGGGTGGAGTCTGGGAGGGCACTGTGTGAATGGTGCTTGTGACCCTGGCTCTTCCTCCACTGAGTCCTGGTACGAACACAGTCCTGCTGGGGCTCTGCCATCTGTTAAAAGGCTTCACAAATATTTGGGTAGCTGCTCATTTGTGTATTTGTATTTTGATGATATTACATTGAAATCTTACATCACTGAGCAGTTGATTCTGCTGGCCAGCTGTGGCACATCTGAGCCCATCTATTTATAGAAGGGGAAATCCCTTGCTTTAGTGGCAAACGTACTGATTGAAAAGATAGAGCGCTCAAGTTGTATTTCTCTGTCCAGTTGAAAGAGTTGAAATCAGGTTTTTAAAACGAGGCAAGTCATCCTTTGCAAGTACAGGACTGTGCATTGGTGAGAAAGCTGCACATTCGTGGAGTTATATTTTCACTGCTCCCCCACGTTGAGACCCTACTCCAGTCTGGCTGGCTGCAGGGTTTCTGTTACGAGTGGCCGTGCCGCGTATGCTCACTCGGGTAAGGCGGGTGGGCGCTATGGGCACTGAGGTCTCCTTTCTCTGTGCTGCCCCTGTATCTCTGCTACACGGCAGTGTGGCCGTGATGCTGGGGACAGAGGTCGCACGCACTCACTGCTGATGCAGCAGTGCCGTGGGAGGGTGCCCGGTTTGGGAATGGAACCTTGTACAGTCAGGAACCTTAGTGCATGCAGAAATTTCCGTGGCTCTGGCTTCTGCAGGAACCGCCTGGACACGTGTCCAGCCGAGGCTTGGCGGTGTCCTGAGATGGCACTGCGCGGTATCTTCCCTTCTACCTTCGTCTCCTTTACTGTTTCTCTCTTCTTCCTCTCACCCTTGGGTTTTCAAGGTTGTTCTTTCTTCCCTTTCGCTTTTCCTTCCTCGTTTTACCTCTCTCCGTCCTCACGCTCTTCTGTTCTCATTTTTCGGGGCTTAAGGATCTGCCTGCTAGGGTTGGCTGGCTCCTCCCCTCTAATCAGTGGCTCCTCAGGGGTGTGCTGACCTTTCACTGTGGCCTGATTCCCTCCATTCAGGAGGGTGGACGCCTGCCCGGGGACGGGCGTGGAGTTCAGTGACTGCCCTGTTGAGATTAACTCGACTATGGAAAGGGTGCTCGCTGGGCAGCCGAAGACTTTTAAGCCCTCATCTTCTTCCACAAAGCCAGAGGGTGGGTGGCTTTTGCCAGGACGTGTGCCAAGCAGTGGACATGTTCTCCCTCTTCGATGGTAAGAGTTCTGACTTTCTGATCGTAGATCGAGGAAACTCGGCTCAACATTGACAAGATCTCGGAGCACGTGGAGGAGGCGAAGAAACTCTACAGCATCATTCTCTCCGCACCCATTCCGGAGCCAAGTGAGTGTCTGCTGAGGGGAGTCGCCCGGCGATGACCCTCAGTCTTGTTTCCTCGCTCCGCGTGTGGCAGAACCGTGTGCACATCACCTTGTGCGAATGTCCACAGCGTAGCGCCTCCTTATCCCCGCCACCGTCAGCTCTTCCGTTCACGGTCCCCGCCATCCCCTGGCCGGACTTCCCTCTACTCCTCCCTGGCACACCAGCTCTTAAGCCTCCTCTGCTGCCTGGTTCGTCCTTGGTCCTTCTTCGAGACTTGGTCTGTTTCTGTCTTTACAAGCTTTCCTGGGTCCTCCCAGGCTGTGCTCGGGCCCTTTGTAAGTGCCCGGTGCACACCCTGACCACAGCTCGAACTGCTCCGCACCGCATGCTTCAACTGCTGGTTTATTTCTCCCTCATCCCTGCTGGACTCAGAATACCTTGATACACAGGCTATGTCTTCTTCCCAATTCCTGAGTTTCTAGCTCAGTTCTGAGCTGGTGGATGTTGAAGGACTGTTTTTAAGTGGATTGCAGCAAATAGTTATCTTGTGCCAAATTCTCTAGGACAGAACTGAGGAGACTGTAGGTGTATCACAAATATTGCTTCAGTTCAAAGCTGAAAAGCCTCGGAGTCGTAGAAGAATCCATAGCACCTTCTCCGACCTTCCTGAAGCCTTCATGCTGAAACAGTTTCCTCTAAAAGCAAGGCTCTCAAAACTCTGTGTTCTGGAAAATTACTTAGGAAGGTTTATTAAAGAGGCAGGTTTTAGGGCTCCACCCCTGGATTTTCATTCTGCAGCTCTGGGATTGGGTGCCTGGAACATGCCTTTTAAAAACAGGCTGTCTGGGATTCCAGGGGCAGAATCTGGGGAGCGCAGAGGGAGAGCAGCACTGCCGTGGGCGGGGTGCCTGGGACAGTTCCTCGCCCGTGCTGACTGAGGTCATGTGTAAAGCAGTCCTGTCTTCTCTGATTTTATCTCCTTTGTTTACCCAGAAACCAAGGATGACCTCGAGCAGCTCACCTCGGAGATCAAGAAAAGGGCCAACAATGTCCGGAACAAACTCAAGAGTAAGAAGGGAACAGGCCGGGGCCCCCCACCAGCCACTGCCCCTCCCAGGCCTGCCTCCTCTGAACAGACTCAGTGCAGCCGAAGCGATGGCGCTTCTTCCCGCCTGTGGTTCGGGCACTACCCTGGGGTGACTTGCTGTACAAATTGACCTTCTCTGGGCACCTGACTGCATTTGAAACAGTCTAGAATTGAGTTGGGGGATGGGAGTTAGAGTGTATTCTCAGCTGCTGGCTTGGTCCTTTGGCTTCGGGGGTCCGTTTTCTCGTACTGGCCGTTTCCCTGGCGCCTCCATTTACCTGAACGGTACTGTTGAGATCTGCACTTGCCACGTGTCTGACTCAGTCTGCAGATCTTGGTGCCGAGGTGTTTCTCGGCGCGCACCTTCCCATCGCCACCCTTCGGTCCCCCACTTGAGAATATACTTCAGTGAAGCTGTTGTCGTAGATCCAGTTCTCTCAGGGACTCGAAAGGTTTGCTTAGTTCCGTGGATATTGTCTTTTTTTTGAGTCTTGGGGATGGAACTCGGCCTTTAGACTGAGCTACTTTCCCTGCCCCCAAATTCCCTTAAATGTTCTTTCTAAATTTTGAGACAAGGTCTTTCTAAGTTGCTTATGGTGGGGTCAGCTCACAGTTCTTCTGCCTCAAGAGTGCTGGGATTACTGGCCTGCACCGCAACCCCAGGCTGGTCTGTATTCTTGCAGAAAGTAATTGATGAGTGTGTGCTGTTGGTCAGAGGGGAAGCATTTTTGCCGAGCCTAGTTTGTCATTTATCCCCAGCCCCAATTAACGTAAGTCCTTTAATGGGCACGGAGAGGGGCTCGTTGCTCGCAGCTTCCACTAACGATGTGCAGTGTGGCTGTCCCGTGCGCTGTGCTTGCTCCCCGTGTGTTCTCATCTAATCTTTCGCTGATGCTCTGAGGAAGGCACAGGTCAAACACCCTTAATCTGAAAGTCTAAAATCCAAAATACCCTGAAATGCCTTTTGAACACCAGAGTGATGCCAGAAGTAGAAAATTACCCACCTTGACCTCCTGTGACAGATTTCAGTTAAAAAACAGAAGCAATAAAAAATAGGGTGTAAATTTAGCTGCAGGTTATGTTTATAACATGAATATAAAACATAACTGAATTTTGTGTCCTTTCCCCAAGATAGTTCATCATGTCCATGCAAATATTCTGAAACCTGAAAAATCCCTAAACTTGAAACGCCTCTGGTCTCACGCGTTCAGGTGAGGTCACTCAGCTTGTACTGTTACTTGTTCCAACTTACAAACAGGAGAGCAGAAATGTGAGAGGTTATGTGGCTTTCTCAAGGTCACATGCCCAGTCAGCGGCATGGCAAGGATTTGGGCCTAAGCCACTTGGTGACCAACACCCATACTTTCCACCCCTGTGCTGAGACTTGGGAATAAAAGGTAAAGGCGAGTAAGGGCAAAGCTGTGGCTCCGTGAGCTGCCCTTTGCGATGCTGCCTACCTCTTGTTCTGCCTCCTGCGTTCTGCATATGGGCGTCGGTGAGGAGGGCTGCGTGGCACAGTGTTTTTGGCAGGAAGAGCAGATGTGCTGCTAGAATGACCTTCCTCTCCCTCCAGGCATGGAGAGGCACATTGAAGAAGATGAGGTCCGGTCGTCAGCTGACCTTCGGATTCGGAAGTCCCAGGTAAGTTTATCCTTGGTCTAGCAATCATAGTCCTTTAATATTTTTTTCAGCTTTGGAATACTTTCTTTCTTTCTCTCTTTCTTTCTTTCTTTCTTTTCTTTCTTTCTCTTTTCTTTCTTTCTCTTTCTCTCTCTCTCCCTTCCTTCCCTCCCTCCCTCCTTCCCTCCTTTCTTCCCTCTTTCCCTCCCTTCCTTCCTTCCTTCCTTCCTTCCTTCCTTCCTTCCTTCCTTCCTTCCTTCCTTCCATTCTTCATTGGAACTCAGTTTGAAGAACTGGTAAAGGAGACGTATCCAGGTTGAAGCAGTCGGGACTAGCATGTTGCCCTTTTGACCCTTCTCTCACCATCCCCTTCTCTAAGGAGATCCTTGATTACTTCTGAGACTCTCCAGAGCACAGGTTGTTCTCTCTCTTCTATCCACTTACCCGTTTTTGGTGGCACTGAGGATGGAACCCAGGGCCTTGTGCAGTCTCCTCCTTTTACAGGCAAGGAAATTGGTGTCCTCTTAGTCATTAGTTGCCCAGTTTGGAACTAGGGACGTTGGGGTTCATCACAGCTAGGACCCTTGACCTTACAGAAGCAGCATGACATCTAGGTGGCACAGGAGCTATTACTTACGGGCCAGCACAATGGTGTGATAAGACGTAATTAAACTTGTGGTGTTCTCAGCATTCAACACTCTTGGGGGGAGCTGGGGGTGACCAGAGTGCCAGGGTGGGCGGGCTCGAGAGGTGGGGTTTCCCCTCACACATGCGCGCGTGTGGGCAGCAGGTGACATGAAGAGGACAGCATGTCTGGAGAAGGTTGTTGTGGGCCAGCAACGCTGAATGGGAGATAACGCAGCAGAACATTCCAGAGGCCTTCGGATACCAGTCTGAGAGACTGGATCTGATCCAGTAGCCTTAGGACATTATGGTGGATCCAGTTTGAAAGCTGGATGAGTGGGGAAGAGACCGGAGGCTGTAGGTCTCTACGTTTTTGCACCAGTTAGCAAAAGTTTGGTCTGAATTTGCATGGAGGGGTGGGTTTGGAAAAAGTAGAGCAAAGGAGAAATGAGTAGGGCTTGATGCTGGGGGAAGGCAGGGAATGCAAAGGACTACGAAGCTTTGAGCGTAGGCATCCAGGGCTGCTGAGAGAATGGAACTGTGTGTAAGCGAGCAAAGTTGGGAAGATGAGTGAGGAACTCGGGGGTCTTTGCCGGACATGATATGTGAGAGGGCGGGGCCCGCTGAGAAAGCAAGCCAGGGGCTGCGGCAGAAAAACGCTACCAGGCCAGGTGGGTGCGGGCAGGGCTTTGAGGTCCTCACGTTAGCTCTCTTTGCCTCACAGTTACCACGTGAGGTCAGCAGAGCAGGGAGCAGTGCTGAAGCCGTGTTTCGGAATCGGCATGGACTCTCCCAGGGGCTCAAAACCAGATCATGAGGTTGGATCTGCTAGGAGGTCCTGGTTCCAGGCTCAGGGCTGCTGCAGGCCAGGCCGTGTGGGGTGGGGGGAGGGGTTTTCCGGCAGCCACAGACCTTCCTCTTGTTACCGGCCTGGGGGCTGACACGCTTCACATTGTTCCCGTAGCACTCCGTCCTCTCCCGGAAGTTCGTGGAGGTGATGACCAAGTACAACGAGGCACAGGTGGACTTCCGTGAGCGCAGCAAAGGGCGAATCCAGCGGCAGCTTGAAATCAGTATGTGTTTGAGATTTGGCGCGTGCTCTCCCGTGCTTTTCTCCGCCCCGTCGTTGCCCATCCCAAGTTGGGAGACTGGGAGAAGCAGCAGCAACGCTGCCTGTGGTGTCTGCACCCTGCCTTGTCCTGAGCCCAGAACAGGTGGTACAACACTGGCACCCCCTGAGCGCTGTGTCTTAGGCTGGAAGTGCACGAGGTCTGTCAGGCTCGAGTAACTATTCTGATGGGATGGGGCACTTCCTCAGAGCTACAGGGGAGACACTTGCTAAACACTTGGTCTCCGGTGGCTTCGCTACATTTTTGCTGCGTTAGACAGCAAAGCACATTAAAAAAATAAAAGTATGGAACTAGCTGCTCTGAGGAATAAGGAAACCAGTAAAGCCGTGGCCTCTAGGAGTTTAATAATATGGAAGGCAAGGCCCTGCAGGCCAAGTGTACTTCAAGTGGGAGGGACTGTGTGAACAAGGGTGCAATCAAGAAAGAGCAAGTATGTTTAGGAGTGGCAGTTTGTCCTGGGTCTGGGAAGAGGGTGTGTTTGCAGCTGCAGGTCAGGGCCATGCGGGTTGAGGGAAGGTTTGCCCATGAGCCGTGCTTTGTTACGAGGGGCCCAAGTCCCAGGTGGAGCACGTGGGGCCAGGAAATAGCCTGAGCGGGGAGACAGTGGATCCTCTGTAGTAGGTGCTTTAGGAAGGGAACTCCTGACCCTGTTAAGGGTGGATTGGATTAGGGAGAACTCAGAAAAAAAAGGAGACTGGAGGCTAAGGGAGTGTATGGGGGTCCTGGTCCTTACGGTGAAGCCACCATATTCCTAGTTTCTGGGAGCTCTTGAAATGGGGTGTGCTTTGAACTTGTGTTTGATGTTCCACTTCTTGTGTTAAAAAGCTGGCAAAAAGACTACGGATGAGGAGCTGGAGGAGATGCTGGAGAGCGACAATCCTGCCATCTTCACTTCCGGGGTGAGTGACTCGGCGCTGTGGCCGGGGTCTCCCAGGCCTTGCAGGCAGGGGCGAGCAGCATCACTGGGAGGTGGGGGCTGTGCGGAGGCAGCCTTTGCTGCGGGGGTGCCAGTGTCCTGTGTGTGCCTGGGTGTAGATCATCGACTCCCAGATCTCCAAGCAAGCCCTCAGTGAGATCGAGGGTCGGCACAAGGACATTGTGAGGCTGGAGAGCAGCATCAAGGAGCTCCACGACATGTTCATGGACATCGCCATGCTGGTGGAGAACCAGGTGAGTGGCAGCGGGAGAGCAAGGCCCAGGCTCTCCGAGGGCAGAGGAGGATATGGGGAGGCAGGCGAGGCGGGGCAGGACAGCCAGGGAGCGTGCACATGGAATAAATCCCAGTATCCCAGTATCTTCCATGTGCGTTCTTAGCAAACGCGGACCCTTTGGGTTGTCTCATCCTTGTCATTCCTGCCCGCTGCTGTGCCCTCGCCGTCTTTTCTGATTCATCTAGTTTTGATTCATACAGTTATAAAGTATCTTTGGTTTGTGTAGTATCTTGTCCACTCAGCCTGGGGATCAATTTTTTCCTTCCTTTTTAATTTTTTAAAAATTAGAGATACAGGTTCTTAATGATGCCTTAAAAGTCTCCTGATAGGAACCATTTCAGTGGCGACATTGAAAACCTGTGATCTTATCTTAGTTCAAGGTGAAAATGGAGAACTATTTAAAATGGCGGTTTTTATTCTTTTCCATTTTTGTTTTTCGAAACTTTCTGAAATATTTGGCACTTTTTGCTAAGGAACAAGAGCAGACATGAAGAAATAGTAAAAGAGTATTTACAGATGAGCTGGAAACACCCCAGGCGCTCAGCTGGGTGGGCGCTCACCCAGCACCCTCGCTCGGGGACACCTGGCTGCAGACGGAGCCAGCTTCACAGAGTCCGGCGGTTCCTACTTCTTACCGTGCCACAGGGCCGTAGGGATGTGCCACGTTTACCAGGAACCTCAGCTGCACTGCCAGCTGCACAGGACTGCACGCTGCTGCCTTAGCACACAGGCTGCAAAGCCTAGCTGAAGCCCAGGCGCTGCTGCGCGGTGTTTCTCTGCTAGGGGTGCACTGCCTTGTCCAGCCCTTTCCTGCCCCTTGAGACCATTTCTCAAGTCCCTCCATCCCGAATCTTCTTTTTCTCCCCCCACACTGCCTTGCCGAGGAACTGGTTTGGGATTCAAGTGATGGTAAGTTCCTTACCTTGTTTGCAGAGGGCCATTATGTGATGGTGTTAGATCAAGGAAGGCTGGAGTGAAGGAGGGGAGTTCCCATCCTCAGATGCCGCCTACAAGTTAACTGCAGTGAAAAAAAAAAATTCCCTGTCAGAGAGTAACAGCTGGAGGATGGTTGGGAATCTTACTGAGTCCACTGTCTACGGAGGAAGAGAACCAAATAATTTAAGTAAATCCCACGTCTGTCACTTACGGGGCCTGGGAATTTCTCTTGGAGAAAGCGTAAGTTCCCAACCTGAGACACTCACTGAGAACCTACTGTGTGCCATGCACCGGTCTGCAGTAGTGAACTAACCTCACAGGCTGAGTGACCTTGGTGCAACCCTGAATGACCAGAAAGAGGCCAGGATCCTGGTGATGCTCAAACGACAACAGCAGCAACAGCAACAAAACACAAAACATGAGACACTCTTTTGGTCCCTTCCCATGTGCTTAAGTTAAAGAACAAAAAGTGGGAAGGGATCCCTCCAGATACATTCCTGTGTGGTTACCGGGCTTCTAGCCAGTCTGCTTCCGATGCCTCCTCACCGGGGCGGTCACAGGAGGTACCTACGTGAATGCTCCTTGGTGCGCGAGCACCCAGCACCGGCGAACCACCGGTTGTCCCCGGGGCGTGTGCACAGGGGCCCTACCAAGTCCTCGGTTGCTCCTCGTGGCACTGTAATTGCTAGCTGCTCCGGTGGCTGCGCTGGGTGTGACTCATCTCTGTTCTTTGCAGGGGGAGATGTTAGATAACATAGAACTGAATGTCATGCACACAGTCGATCATGTGGAGAAGGCACAAGAAGAAACTAAAAGAGCTGTGAAATACCAGAGTCAGGCCCGGAAGGTGAGATTTTCCTGCTGCCTTCAGAGGAGAGAGTCCATGTGCTTTGCTCTCTGTCTCTGTCTCTTTCTGCTGCCACCGCTTCCTGCCCCTTGGTAAAGGGAGCCATGATCGACCGTATTGAGAACAACATGGACCAGTCAGTGGGCTTTGTGGAGCGGGCTGTCGCAGATACCAAAAAGGCAGTCAAGTATCAGAGTGAAGCCCGGCGGGTGAGCGCCTTAGTCTCAGTTGGCCTTACGTGCTTCTTCCTCTGGTCACCCCGCCTGTGCCGCTGGGCCCATGCCTTCCCTCTCCGTCCTGCTCAGCATCATCCAAAGCCTGTCCTAGAGCCCAGCTGCCTGCCCTCCCTCCCAGGCTGTCCTGCATGGATCTGGCGCACCTGCTTCCTAGCGAGAACCCACAGGGGACAGGCAGCTGTGCAGGGGGACACACAGCCAGGCGCTGTGCTGAGCTTCTGGCTGGCAGCTCCGGAGCCGCACGTGTGACCCGTTCTTCGGCATCCTCTGCGTTGTCCTCCCCTCCATTATCTAAGCCCTGGCCCCTTTTCTTTCCCCTGTTCGCAGCACTGTACTAAATGCTGGGTGAACAGCGCATCTATGGAAGCACCTATTTTTTTTTTTTTTTCTACTTTTAGATAAAATAACTGAGGGTTAGAGGTTAAGTGGCTGGCTTCAGTCCACCTCGTAGCACAGCTAGGATTCACATACAGATCCTAATCGTGTTCTTCTCACAGCACTGCTGAGTCTGTCCACCCTTTGGGTGCCCCTGTTGCTCAAGGACTTCTAAGCTTCTCTACTCACTGGCTATGGGTGTCCAGCTCTGGTGTCTGTCTTTTCCTGCTCTTACTTGATTATTGCTCTTGGGCTCTGAGACTTTTGATCTTTAGTTGTTTTTCTTCTACCTGTGCCTATTGCTTATGCAGGTATTCAGGGAGGTGGGGAGTTATTTTACACGGTGAATCCGTGCTGGACCATACTTCCTGATACCGTTCAGTATTCCGGGTCTGACAGGTACAGGTGGGCTTGAGGGGAAAGATGAACAGAAGATGGCAATTAGGACTGCACAGAAAATGTCTTAATACTTCCTCTTGAAGAGGAAGACTTTTTGTGTATAACTTGGCCAGTTTCTGCTTGGAGACCAGTAATAGTGGTTTTTATATCCATCCACATGTGCAGAATGAGTGTGAGCTGAGAGCTGAGGGAGAGCTCCATATTTCCGTCTGCTGGCGCTGCTAGCCAGGAAGTAATTTAAGAAGTAAAATATCTTTGAAGAATGTCTTTATGTAGAAACGTAAACCTCTCCCTATGCAGAGTAGTGGAGCTGGGTTTTAGATGAGCGGTTATTTTTTTGTAATAATTTGTTTTCACCTGTCTTATTCCTTCCTCCAGAAATTGATTATTATCATTGTGGTAGTTGTTGTGTTGCTGGGCATTTTAGCGTTGATTATTGGACTTTCCGTGGGGCTGAAATGAGAGCAGCCTCAGGGCTGCTGCACTGAAATGTAAGTAAACGGCTGGTTCTTGCGGGCTGGGGGTTGGCTTCTCAAGAGCAAAGAGCCTGGGCTTTCAGAGCCTACTGCTTTGCTTCGGTGACTGCCCTTGGGCACAGTGAACATCCTCAAACTTGGTGGCTGCGGGCGTTTTCATCTCCTTATAACCTGTCTCAGGCTCTGGCTGTAATGTAGGGGTCAGGTGTCCTGCTTATTCTTGTCCTGCACATTCTGTCGCTGTTCTTTCTGCTGTCATGTTTTGTCACCTCTCCTGGCACACTTGACTGTCCTGCCACGGAAGCAAGGGTGGAAGTTGGGGATAATCTGCCTTAGATCTGGGGGCTGTCTTCTGAATGCTTACAGGCTTTCATGAATGTTGGGCTTTGCTTTGAGTCGGGGTTGGGCCCCTTAGAATTTTATTTGTGGCTAACTGATTGGAATTTGAATGAGGTAATAACATTTTTGAGTGCTGAGTTGTGCCTGACAATTATCACAACACCCTTATGGGAGAGGTACACACATTTTACAGATAAAGGAGCTTGGTCTTTTTTTTTTTTTTTTTTTTGTGAGACCAGGCCTTGAACTCACTATGAAGCCCAGGCTGGCCTTGAACTTGAGGTGATCCTCCTAGCCTCGGATCCTCCTGCCTCAGCCTCTGAAGAGCCATGTGCCACCATGCCCAGCAAGGAAGAATTTAGTCTTAAAGAGAAATTAAGTAATGGCCAAGTTCACACAGCCAATAGTTCACTTAGGAAAGTTCTTTACTACATCTTAGCTTCTCTTTTTAAAATAAGGAAGCCATTTGTCATTGTCTGCAGAGTCCTGAGAACCTTAGAGAATAGGGGTTTTAAATTTTAGGCTATTTTATTTAAACTTTGTTTAGAAAGAGCTGACCACTGCATTTGGCTTAATAGCAGTTGGCATGACTATTAGATAAAAATCTAGTTATTGGGATTATTAAGATTTTTGTCACTTTTGAAATATTTTTTTCTGAATATAGCATGCATTTCTAAAAAAGGCCTACAGAATTAAAAAACCCTAAATTAACTTCTAATGTAATTGCTGATAACCTTGTGACACACTGATACACATGTATAGTTTACTTAGTTCAGACTATATTATCTATAGTTTGTTCCCAGTTACAAAATCATAAGCATTACTTCACATCACTAAAATCTTTCAAAATCTAATTTTCAGCATGCAATTGTTGATATACTCAAATATTTAATACTTCAATGTTGGAGTTTGTTGTATTGCTTTCATAGTGTGACTAACCTTATGTAATATTTTTCTCATTTTTCTGTTTATTGTGAATTCATAGAAGTTGGGTTACTGAGGTAACATACACATATTAAGTCCTGCTGCATACTTCCATGTTGATTTCCACAGAGGATTCTTCCTTCCTTCCTTCCTGTTTTCTTTTCTTTTCTCTCTCTCTCCCTTCCCTTCCCTCCCCTTCCCTCCCCTTCCCTTCCTTTTGTTTCCTGAGATTATTATTCTCAGATTTTTTTTTCCCCCAGTACCGGGAATCGAACTCACGACCTTGCACTTGCTAGGCAGGTGCTGTGCCGTAAATCCCCAGCCCCTATTCTCAGATTATTATTCACCTGGCTTCAAGAAAAGCAGTGAGGTGACCCATCTTTCACAGGCACTTAACTGTAGGCTCTTTTTCTTTTCTTTTTTTGGGGGGCATTTGGAAAGTGTAGTTCTTGAAGGCTTTTTGATTATTAAAATTTTAGTTTTATTCTGAGTTTTAGCTGTCTTTTTGGAAAAGATGTTTAAAAATGGTGTAATACTTGTTAGCGTTCCTTATATGGATGAAAGATATCTTGTAAATTCATGGTGCTCTTTAACATTCATCCCTAACTCCAGGAATGCAGAATGTAAATGAAGGAGACTCATGTTTTAGTTAACCCAGTCTTTAAGACTCTAAGCTGCTGAGTAGTTAAGGTGCTTGTCACAGTGTGTTCTGCGTGCTGTGGTAAGGTCCACACTGATACTGCCCAGGTCTGGGCTGCCCTGTCACCCCGGGTGCTCTCTGAGCTAAGGGAAGGGAGGCAGTCGTGTTTACACTCCCCAGTGGTATGCCAGTTTTAGAGTACTATCTGCACACCCAATTGACAGATGGGGAACCTCTTTGATTAGCTGGACGTAGTGGTGTACACCTGTAATCCCAGCACTGGGGAGGCTGAACCAGGAGGATTGTCACAAGTTCAAGGCCAGCCAGAATTACATAGTAAAACTCTGTCTCAATCCCCCTCCTCAAAAGGACACCCCAAAAAACTTGCCCAAGCTGAGGCAGAGTAACCATAATGTGACCTTGAACTTCTCCATGCTCTTTGCATTGTGCCTTTCTGCTTTCAAAGAGAAGGGTATGTTCGTGGAGAAGACTAATATCAGAACGCTCCCTAAGCTTGTATTCAAAGGAGGCCACTTTCAGCCAGTGACTGTGTCCCACCGGAGTCCTTGAGGAGGTGTGGCAGCCTGTGCCACACCTGTGATAGAAGGCCTGGCGGTCCGTCTCTTCTCCCCGCTCAGGGTTGGGACCTGTGGTTTTTATGTGAATTAACTCCTGGCCCTGCCTTAGGTCCGTCTGTGTGTGGCTTGGTGCTGATCACTCGGTTGCTCTCCTTCTTGCAGTTATTTCCGCTCTTTCCTCCCCACCTCCTCAGTTTGCAGCTGACTGCTCCTGTTGCTCCCCACCACCATCGTGAACACTGATGAGCTCCTCCTCTCCCTGCTTCTCATAGAACCTGATTACACTCCAGCCTGGCGTGGCCGCCCTTGTCTGCCGATGAAAACAGTCTCAGTGGCCTTCCTGAGAGTGAGGGGGAGCTCTCCCTTTGTTTCCTTGTAACCTTCCTTGGACCTGATGCAGCAGCCCTGGAGGAACCTAATCTACTTAATGGCCACGAGTTCTCCTCAAAACCACCTCCTGCCCCAGCAACTGAAGTGCCTTCTCCTTGGACTGTCTGAACCGACCCAGCTTGTTCCCTCCCTGTGTCCAATTGTGCCTTGTACCTTGGGAAGCCCATGTGAAACTGTCCCAAGGTACTGTATGATCTACCTCATGGAGTATTTTTTGCCCAGAAATTGCAATGTACTTTTTTTAGGGAGTATCTTTAATAATGCAGAAGGATTCCTGTAGCTTTGGCAACAGTAGGGCTTGCCTCAGTCTTCAGCCTGGCAAGATGCCAGTGTTCAGACTTGTCCCCGTGTCCTGGAAACAGAAGGGACCAGCAGATGCCATTTTGGTTTGGCAAGTTGACTGCTTTGAAGTCAGGCTCTGAGTAAGTTCAGCTTGGGGGCCAGGTTCCCCTTCCTGTGTCGTGTTCTTTCATGTTTACTCAGAGGAAGCAAGATACAGTCGTTGGAGGTTATCATTTGCAAAGGCAACTGTGTCTGAGACTCATGTACCTATACGTGTCTGTCTCTCAGGAAGTAGAAAATGAGAAGTGGAAGATACTATGACCTCACAAAAACCAGCCAACCAAACACAGAAACTTTGAGTTAGGCTATCAACTAGGTAAGGACTATTTGCTTTCCTGCAGCTGAATCTTCCCCTTTCAGGACTAGGGTCTTCCCATGCTATCAAGATGCCTGTTTTCTGGATGAGTACTGGGAGAATCAAATGAGCTCTCTGGAGTGCGGACTGAGTTGATCCCCGTAACATTTTTCTGCATAGCAGATGGGAGGTGTAATGAACGTTTGGCACTTTTCCCAGCTGCAGCTTCTAGGAGGCTTGTCCAGAGACTATCCCGCAGCAATCTGGTATTACTCGCATGACCTTTGGGATGTCCTGACTCTGGGGCTGAGTCAGCTGGGACAGCCCAGAAATTAGAGTGGCTCTTCCTGCTCTGGGTTAATGAGATTTACAGGTTCTTTGTTTCCTTCAATTCTTATCACAGAGGAAGCAACGGCCAGGAAATCTTGAAATGACTGCTCACCCAACGGTGGGCCCCTTAGGTCCCGCCTATTCTCACCCAGTCTTCCGGATTTAGGTACGAGCCGTATTTCAGCTCTGCCTCTAATGGTCTCTTGGACAGGGCGAGTGCTGCCCACTAGCTTCCCTTGCACAGGTTCCCCCTTCCCAGCACGCAGACAGAGCCGCAGTGTGCCCCCCTCCCGCCTCGGTTATGAAGTCTGACAGGGACTGGCTCCGGCGACAAGCGGGGAGACAAACGCTAGTCCCAGGCCTTGGCTCCCTTCTGAGATTGAGGCCTGGTACTTACACTTTGGAACGCAACCTGTGAAGGGTATTGCTTGTATTTTTTTAAATGGAAACTTGATTATTTTATTGCTAATTTAAAAATAAATGACTTTATATTGATTGTGAAATGGTTCCACCTCACTGCAAAACACAGGGTAATTTCTTGCCACTACGTGATTTTTGTTCAGGTTTTGGAATAGAGTTAAGCCCTAGCCCTTCCTCAGTGATGGTTCCGAAGTTCAGTTTTGTGAAAGTGGCTTCACTTCCCAAACGTGTCGTAACTGTACTTGAGTTTGAGTTGAGGGGCTGCCCCTGGAAGGCTCACTTGCTGCGCACCTCGCCTCACCCAGGAGGACACATCTGTGGCGTCCCCTGCTGGAAGGTGGAACGGCACCTCCACACCCAGGTCCCTGTTGGTCTGGTTTTTGGCTCTTTCACCCGGGAACACTTCTGAGAACACTCTGGGTTCTGGAAGCCAGATCCATCTCCTTTCCCGTGGCTCCCTCCCCTCCGACCCGCTTCCGTGTCTGGAAACCTTCGTCAGACCCATCTGTGCACAGCGATGGCATTTCTCACGTGCTTTTTCTCTCCTTGTCTGGACGAGCAGAAGAAGATCATGATCATGATCTGCTGTGTAATCCTTGCGATTATCTTGGCTTCTACCATTGGGGGCATATTTGCCTAGAAAGGTGAGCCATCTGTGGGGCGGGCCGGGTCTGCTTTCCACTTGGCACTTGCGTTCAGGGCTTCACTGTTCCCGAGTCCGAACAGGATGAGTGCTCGAATAGGGTTAGTGAAAACTAAAGGGATGCGTCAGGGAGAAAAACGAGTTAAGCGTGAGTAAGAGGCGGGCAGTCAGAGGAGTGGAAAGGGACGCGAAGGCAGCTGTCCGTCCCATAACTGAATCTGGGAGCAGAGCGCAGTACTTTGAATAGTGTGAAGGTGCAGAACTTAAGCCTTGGAATCTGAGAATGGGAAAGGAGCAAGAGTGAGTTTTCGCATTAGGTGGACCCTGAGCTGCTTAGAAGAGCCACAGCGGACCTGCACCAGGTCAACCTCTCCCCTTCCAAGGTCAGGACAGGTTAGCACGGCCTGAGGAAGGGAGCTGGTGATCCTGGCCGTGAACCTACGCTGGTAACTGATGACCGTCCCCCCTCTGCCCTCACAGATGGACCCTCGGCCGGCACTTCCAGTCCTCCTCCCGCCTCTGTGCCATCACTTCTCCACTGCAGACTTCTCCTCAGCCACACCTTTCTCCACTAGGAAACTTCTCGTGACGCTGGGCACAAATAAACTACTTACATGTTATGCAAAGGGAGAACAAATTTATGAAAATACAGTGGGGAGGGCTGGGGTGAAGGAAGAGGTCACAGCAGCGTACAGCTGTTTGGGTGGAGGGTTAAAGGCGGGGCCTGCAGGGTGCGGAGTACACACACTGGTGCTCAGGCCACGCTTGAACCTGTGGGTGGCTGTGAAGAGGTGGGTGTTGCAGCTCAGCCCGTGTCTTAGGGGTTTTTTCTTTGCTGGGACACTTTTCTCATTGCTGGGACAAAATACCCAGACACCCAAAGTTAGAGGAAAGACTGATGTAGGTCGTGGTTTGTGGAGGTTTCAGTCCCTAATCTGCTGGCTCCAAGGCAGGGCAGCATGGCAGAGGGGCAACAGGCCATGGCAGCAGAGGACAGCAAAGGCAACAAGAGGCCTTACCGGCATCTTCCTGCTCCTTTTATAGTGTATCTACACTGCTGGGATTAGGACGGTGCCAACTCAGTCAGTGGACTGACTTAGTAATCACACAGCCTAGTCCCATCACCATACACTCTAGACTCGGCCACCTCTGAAAAAGCCTCACCCAAGACTGCACGCGATGTTGTGGGTGGGGGATCTAGACACCAGCCACACGACACCCGGCCCAGCAGGGTCGTACGTGAACTGCTGCAAGGTGATCAGGATCAGGACACTTGTTGCTTCTGCTTAGGCCTCTTCCAGGTCTCACCCTTGAGCAATCGTGCATCTGCTTCCTTCAGCAGGTCCTCAAGGTGAGGCTCATTCAAGGATGGGCACCATGCCTGTCCTGCTCATTGTGTCCCCACTGCTTGGCACAGTGCCTGCCAGTCACAGGTGCTCAAATATTTGCTGACCGAATTACCTATCATCAGGCTGTGATTTCATTCTTGGAGGAAGCCTTGGGTTTGACTTCTATCTATGAGACATCACTGGGAGCATGGCTTATTGCTCTCAGGGGCTGTGGAAAGCTGCCTGGCCACGGGCTGATCCATTCACGTAAAAAGGCTCCAACTTCGCCCCCAGTCACAACAGATGCTCTGAAGTGCTGTTTCTGTGGGTGGTAACGGTGGAACCCTATCCGTACCCTACATCCCGCGGACGAGATCACTGCAGGAGGGTGGCTGGGTAACTAAGTCCAGACGCCCAGCAGAAGCAGGCTGAACTCCCAACAATCAGCACCACCATTCTAACCCACCACAAAGGAGCTGTCAGCTCTCGTTTAAGGCTACTATCTCCTTTATTCAAAAAATAAATGTTCCACTTTGAATCAACGTGTTTCAAATCACATTAAGCGAAAGGAAATAGTCCTTTGGAAACAGAACAAGTGCAGGAAAGCATCATGTTCCTGACGATGGGGCAAGGTGTTTCCAGCAGCACTGTGACCCAGTGAGGACTCTCAGCAGGTGAACACACACACACACACACACACACACACACAGAGCTTTGAAGTCTGAAAGGCACACGAAGTGGGCTATAATGTGTGTGGCAGAGTCACCGATAAAACGTTCCCTAATCCCTGCCAAGAGAAGCGGAGAGACGCATCATCAGACTAGAGAGGACAGCCGCTCAGCACCGACACCTCTGCAGACCACCTCTGCAGACGAGAGCCAGTTTCCTTGGTCTCCCTCTCCCTGCCCACGAAGTCCGCACCGCGGCGCTCCCTTGGTGGGCAGGGTGTGTGGCCACACACACACACACACACACACACACACACACACACACACACGCACGCACGCACGCAGTGGCTGGGGGCGGAAGCACCGCCACCGTGGCCATCGCCTGCCGGGCAGCAGTGAGGGCTGCTTCTGCTCATCCTCTGATGTCTCTTCCCGGGCTTCCCTTTGAGCTGCTGGTCTTTCCTGGTGGATGCTGAGGATGTGTCCAGACGAGGCTCAGAGGGGCCACACCCCTGCAGTCAGGCAGGGGCCCTCCTTTTCTTCAGATCCACCAACTACTGTTTTGATAATTTCTGCAGGATGATCTCCTGCCTGGGGGCTTCGCTCTCCACTCACCTCACTTGCACCATGAGCTGAAGCTATTGCCCAGCACTGTCTAAACATTGTCCCCCATTCAAGATCCAGTGTGTTCAGCTTTAAAACCAGCTATTGTGTATGTAAGTGTAATAATTTAGTGATTATTATAGTGCAAGAGGATCATGAAAAATGTATTTAAAAACTGCAGTATACAACTCTTGAGGATCATCCAACTGTTCAGATTTGTACTTTTAAACTAAGTTCTTTTGTTGTATGTATGGTACTAGGATCAAACTCAGGGGTGCTCTACTGCTAGGCTCCATCCCCAGCCCTCTGTCTTGAGACAGACCCTTAAAATTGCCTAGGTTGGCCTTGAACTTGAGATCTTCCTGCTTCAGCCTCCTCCATAGCTGGGATTATAGGTGTGTACCACTATACCTGGCTGAAACTAAATTCTTACTTACTTTGCTGGAGCTTTTACTTTTAAATTTTTAAATGAAAATATGACCTGTTTCTCAGTGGGCTGTTCTCTACCCACTTTCAAAAAGCAAAACAAATTAAAAAAAAAAAATTTTAAAAATCTGAGATAGGTTTTCATTAAACTGCTAAGTTGCCCCGGTAGCGCTTGAACTTGTGATCCTCCTGCTTCAGTCTCCCAAAGTGCCGGGATTATAGGTATGTGCCACCACACCCAGCACAAATGGTTTAGTATTTCCATGAATTTGTGTTGATGGAAATATTAAGTTTGGTTTCAAGCAGGGCAGAGACTACTGCTGGCTGGCTCTAAAAGATTAAGCTCGTTATGGCAAACAGAGGTGGAGTGAGAGGGATGTGACTCATGTGGGGCCCCCATTCACCTGGCGGTGCTGATCTGTGCGCTGCACACCATAGGGGCTGTATAAAGCTGCCTGGCGATGGGCTGATCCACTTATGTATGCAAAATGCAAACCCTGCGGGGGACACAAACGTAGCACCAACACGCTCCCTCCTGCAACCTGGAAAGCACTGCACAAGCCCAACTGTGCCCTCTGTTTCTTCCTGTGAGCTACGTTCCTCAACATCCCCTCTTCCAAGACTGAAGGAAGGCAGGTGGCTGGGCACCAATAAACACCTGTCAAACCCAGTTCCTTATGCTGTCATTTTTCCTTGTTTGTGACTGGGAAAATGTCACAGAAGCCGGCCCCTGAAGTGTGGACGCACGTGCAGTGCAGACACGGAGCCAGGCTTGCACCAGTGGTGTGAAATGCCTGAAGACAGTTATTTACAATCCAGGGGAAGCCAGGGCGCGCCCCGATCTTCCTTATTCTCCCAAGGGATTTAAGGTGACCAAGAAGTTACACCCTGAGGTGATGCTCCAACTTTAATTATTAAAGAATCAGTGGGTAACAGAGCGTTTGAGAACTTACTGAACGTGCTGCTCCTCAGTTACAATCTAACAGCCACCCGGAGACCTCAAGGGCAAGCCGAGGAGAGTAGTACAGACTCCTTGTCGCAGTGACAGGCACGAGTGCTGGTTCCCTGTGCCCGTGCTACACACGGTGGGGCAGGTAGAACTTGCCCCAGTACCGCCCCTGCTGCGTCAGGTCATAGGGGCTCAGCACCTTGCGGATCCCCAACATGTTGGCAGTCACTATGCGCTCAAAGGTCCAGGGGTTCTGGTTGTTCCGTTTTCTTTCCTCCTGATCTCTCCGCATCTTCTCAAGTGTCTCTCGGCTCACAGCCTTCGCTGGGAAAGGTAACTTGTGGGCAACCTGGTTCAGGAAAGTTTGCACCTCCTTGAACTCGCAACGTCCACCTATCTCTACTAGGAGGCGGCCGGCCCTCACAGGTGTCACGTAGTGATCGACGGCACCTTTGCCTCCCCCCATGCGCTGCCCCACACCTTTGCGGGTGATGGGCTTGAAAGGTGCTGGTATTCGCCACATGGCGAACATGTTCTTGGCGTCCATAGACCGGTTGATTGTCAGGCGCATCATTTCAAAATGGCCCCAACGGAGGTAACCACCTCCAAGTGCCTACAAGTAACAGAAGCAGAGATGCGTGGGACCTGGGTAGCTTTCAGAGTCTGTATTACTATGTCTCCTTTTATGGTTGTAGGCTGTAACAACACACATGAATATGAAAGTAGGTTCCCAAAAGCCATAACACTCATTGTCTGGACTCCAACAGACAATGGAGGAAAAGCCTAGGGTAACAGAAATGAAGGAGAGCAAGGGCAGACCCATACCAGTGACAGTCAGGGAAGCCTTTGTGAGAAGGTGACATTTAAGCTGAGGACCAAAATACTAAGAACCAGCCAAGGGAAAACAGCATAGTTCCAGGCAGATCAACAGCTATGGAAAGGCCTGCGAAAGCAAAGGGCTTGCTGAGCGTGAGTGGAGACCAGTAGAGCTGGAGTGAGGAGCACGGAGAAAAGGCCCGAAGGCCTGGGAGGTCAGGAGGGGTGGACCATGCAGCCTGGGAAGGCGGACTTCACAATGTCTCCGGCTGCCTGATGGAAAATAAGCCCTAGTGCACAGCCACTTGTGCAGCAACTCATGCTACATCTTTACAGAAGCCATGCAGCAAGTAAGGACACAACTGCCCAAACCTACGTCACGGACTGTCTTTTTTACCCAGAGGCTTGAAACTCATGGTCTGGGCAGATTAGTTAGCCTCTTCCGCCTGTCTTGCATTAGCACCACCCACCCCATTTCATTTTCTGTAATTTCACTTATGAGTGGTCAACTATGGCCTGAGAATATTAAAGGGAAAATTCTGAAATAATTCATAATTTCTAAGCAGCATGCTGTTCTAAATAGCATTTTAAAATTTTACTTCTTCTGCTCAGCTCCTCCTGGAATGTGAATCACCTTTGTCTAGCATATCCACGCTGCACAAATTACCTGCCTGTTAAGTCACCTAGTGCCCATCTAGGTTACTAGACTGACCATCACAGTATCATGGCACTTGTATATATTCAGCACTGTCCTCACTCTCAAGTATCCAGTGGAAAACCTGGAATGTATCCCCTGTGGATAAGGTGAGGAGCTACTGTACCTTCACTCTATATTAAAAATAAAAACAAAGAATTTGCTAGCTTTCATTACTCACCAAAATCCCAAAATTGCCTTCTGTGAACTCAGTAGCTTCTGTGGAAGGTCCCCGTATATCATTCAAGTTTTTAGGTTCTCTTCTTACTTTTGGCATAAGTGGTGCCCTTTCAACAAATCTAAGCTTGGGCCTTTCTGGAATGGAAACACCTAAAGAACCACAGACAAGCAAGAATAAATAAAATTACACATCTCAAAGGATCTGCTTTCTTCCTAGAAAGATTAGTAATGCTCAAGTGAAGTTACAAGAAAGTTACCACTGAACAATTAATTCTGAAGACTACATTCTTCTTGGGCTGGGAAGATAGCTCAGCGGCACAGTGCCTGCCTGCAAATGCAAGGTCCTGAGTTTGAGTCCCAGTACCAAAAAAAAAAAAAAAAAAAAAAAAAGAAAGAAAAGAAAATCCTACATTCTTCTTATGGAAACTTTTAGTGACACTGGAATCTTCTGGTTATGATAATAAAGTAATAGAAGTATTCTTCAACTTTTGAAGATAGCAAAATTTTAACCTTCAAAACAAAATGCACTTATTAAAACCCTATTCTATAACATCTGTAGCAGGAACTGTTTGAAAATCGCTACTTCATTTAATCTTTAAAACAACTTTGTAGCCTTGGCCCATTTTTTAGGATATAATAGGATGTTTAATGTTAATTTTTTTAGGATATATAATAGGATGTTTAATATACATCAAAGGGCCAAAAACAAACGGTCAATTATTAGAAAGTGAACACATGAACACACATTGATCACCCAGGTCAATGAACACTGGGCAGGTTGTATTTTTAATGTCTATTTTATAGACAAACACAAAGCCTAGAAGCATCTATAATCTGTCCTAGGCTACCCAATGAAACAGGCAAAGCCAGACAGCATGATTTTAAAAAAATTACTGCCTCTGGACATTATTGGGGACAGTGGAGAACTCAATACTGTACATAAAAATATCAAAGTTCACTAGCCCTGTCACGTTTTTGTTGGGAAACTTACAACCCAGGAATCCTCTGACCAATGCTTTCTTTTATGCATGCAGAGGTTCTTCAGCTGAGCGCTGTACAGTTCCTACAATGTGCAACGGTGTGCCTGTGGGGTGAGGGTGGGTGGGCACAATTTCAGGACACATATGCGGCATCTTTATCAACTCTGGGAAAAAAACACTCATTGTGATTCATTAAAAAAGACATTTCTGTAGTGAAAGAAGCGTGGTTCCATGCGGAAAACCAACAGGAAACAGGAAACAGGAGACATCAAGCAGACATCAACAGTGGGCATAACATTATGATGTTTCAGCTTACAGAAACTTCCTCCTCCTAGCCTCTCTGCAACTACAAAGTTACTAACACCTTTTCTTTTGGCCTACAAGTCAATACCTACTTCCAGAGAACACAGAATTTAACAATTATGTGTAGAAGACAGTACCACTAAATGTCCTGTCCCCTTCCATTTTTTCAAGGTTTTCAGTACATTAAAAAAATAAAAGAATGGCAAGTTAAATTTATAAAACTGTGGCTACTTTAAATGTTTATGTTTAATAAACTGATACTTTTCACAGACTGTTAAATGATAATGAAATAAAAAGTCCCAATACGAGGTCAATTAGGTCTGGTTGAGAGGACCATGGGCCACAGAGCAGTGTGTGTCCAGGGGCGGGCAACAGGGGGCCGAAGCCATTGGACGTTTGCTCCTTATGAGCGGGGAGTGTGTGGCTTTCCTAACACCGCCTGGCAGTAGGGTATGGCTTCAGTGGACTATGGCGGTGCACACATGTAGTAACCCCAGCACTCCGGGAGGATGAGGCAGAAGGATCGCAAGTTCGTGCCCCGCGAGGGCAACTTGAAAAACACAAAAGGGCCGGGGACGTAGGTTCCATCCCCAGGCCTGCCCCGCCAGCTGCACCACGCCGTCCATACACACTGCTCGAAGGGTGCACGCGGACGGGGGCACAGGGTCGGCACGGGGTCTCCTCCGCCAACGGGGCGGGCCGGGCTCACCTTCGAAAGTTGGCACCGGGAGCAGCGTCTTCATGCCGGCGGCGGCGGCGGGGGCTGGCCGAGAACCTGCGAAGGCAATCCCGGTTAAATGCGCTGCGACACGCCACCCTGCGCCCGCGGACGCGCTCCCGGCGCTCCCCGAGAAGCCGCCCGGGACCTCCCGCCCGGACCCGCGGGCCGCCGAGGCCGCGGCGCGCGACGGGGCGGCCTCCTGAGGACCGAAAGGGCTCCCGACCTGACGAACCCGCCCGCAGCAGCGGCGCACGGGCGCGCGCCAGCGGCCTCCACATGCTCGCGCGTCCAGGTTCTCCTCGGGCGCGAGGAGCGACACTAGGAGGCCAGTCTGCACACGAATCCCGGACGCCACAGCGCCGGGCCGGAAGTTGTGCTCGCCTTGGTCCGTTCCTCAGAGAGTCCCGGCGGAAGCCGAAAAAACTCGAGCCGCGCATCTTGGTTCCGGAGCGGGGAGTGTGCGGGTCGTGCCCAGGTCTGGCGTCTTCTGTGCAGTCCGCGTCTGTTTTGTCATCGTTTCACAACACTGGCAAGGCGTGGGGTTTGCTTAGCATGGCAGTCCTTTACTCACTGCGTTATGGCCTTTCCCTGGAGGGAAAACACCACTGATTTGTTGTTGGTGTACATTGGCCCGAGCTGGCCAGGTGTCAGATGTGACCTCCTTGCTGAGCTCTGGCTCCCAGCAAATCCTCGCGACAGGCTTGCCGCCCGCAGGTCCCGCCCGCGGGCCGAAGGACCTCCCCCAGGGCCACCCCACAGAAAACGGTGCGCCCCGGAGTCCAGCACCGTGTCCCTCAGAGAAGGGACCAAGCCGATGAGTCACAGGTGTTACGTCCAGGGGCGGACAGCTCCCACGCCAGCCACCGTTCTGCTGAGAACGCAGCTCCCAGGTCCTAAGCCTGGCACCAGTGACGAAGGAAAACAGGGCAAAGTTTAGTATAACAGACGACGGCCTCTGTGGGGAAAAGATGGAAAAGGCCACGGACTCACACTTACTGTGAGTGGTGGGGGCGTCAGAGCTGAAAGTCCGCGAGCTCTCACCCACCCTGACCCCTGCTACTGGGGACTCACGTCTCTCCCGTCCCCCAGGTGGGCCTTGTCCTTGTCGCTCTCTGATCTGTTGCTTGACTGCCTTCCATCCTAACCTGGGCCTTCTGGTCATTTGGTGTCTCCCTGACGCTTTGTAATGAATGAGTAAAGAAAGGGCCTGTTATGAAGGCTCCTTACTTAATGATTGAGGGGCCTTGTGTACATGTGTGTATCTGGTGCAATATCATACTGATGTTAAAGTGAGAACATACATTCATGTGTATGTGCGTAGGTGCGTAGGTGTGTGCGTGTGTGGGCATGTCCTACATATTGAATAAGAGTCCTCAGGGTTCTTCTGGTCCCTGCATTCTGCCAGGTGGGTGAGGGGAGCTGGCTTTCCTGCTGATTGTGTTGCCGGGCCCTCCCCCAAGTGTAGCCTGCTTTCCCCTCCTTTGTGTTCCTCATTACCCCACTGCAGAGTCTATCTGTGGAGGCAGAAACTGCTTTCAGTGTTTCTTTATTGATCTTAATAGGGCTGGGGATATAGCTTGCAAGTGCAATGTGGTGAGTTCAATTCCTAGTACCAAAAAAAAAACAAACAAACAAACAAAAAAAAAAAACAAAAAAAAAAAAAGATAATGTGATCTTAATGAAGCTCAATGAGGCCTTTATCCCCCCTACAGGGCCTTCTGCCCCTTCACAGTGAAATAATGTGTAGTTATCCTTTGAGGAGAATGATGGAGAAGTCATTTTCACAAACCTGGAGCTTTTTAGTAATTAGAAAGAGAGAGGATCTTTATCCAAACTTCTGGGTCCCAAGTGGGATCCACAAATGAGGACTGAGGTCTGTTGTGATTAAATCTTTCACGAACGGCAGTGTCAAAAGCCCATGAAAGGTTGGCAGAGGTCCTGGGAGAATGCTGTTCATAATGTCATTCACCTCCTCATTCAGTAGGTGTCCACAGAGTTCGTGGAGCTTGTCACGGCCACTCTAAGGACCTCGTTTTACCTTGGTTACCTCTTAAGTGCTTGGCAGAAAGTTAGTCACTAGCAGGCTGGGGACTGGTGGCTGGGTGGCTGATTGAAAAGGTACTTTCCCTCCTTCACTTTTTACATCATTAGCTATAGATAAGAGCCACACAACTTAGGATTTCAAACTTTAGCTTAAAAGAATGTGACATCCTCTAACTGGGTTAATAAGGCCCAGAGCCTGGACAAAGTCCAGACAATGGGTGAGAGGTTAGAAAAACCTCAACGTGTCTCAAGCTACATTCCAGATAGCCACCTAAAGAGTAAACAGGAGCCTATTTTCCCTGAAGTAGGTAAACACAGCTCATTTTATTTACATGAGAACAGTGACCTCAGAGGAGGGAAGGATATTCCTTGGAAGACCCAGTTAATCATACAAATATAACCTGAAACCGGGCGTGGTTGCGCACGCCAGTAATTCCAACACAAAGGAGACAGAGGCACAAGGATTGTTGCGAGTTTGAGACCAGCCTAGTCTACAAAGTGAGCTCAAGGCCAGCCTGAACTGCATAGCAAGACCCTGTCTCAAACAAACAAACAAACCCAAAACAACAAAACAAAAAACCCCAAATAACCTGAGAGCTCATTCAGTGCAGATGTCATTTTATCAGTCTCTCACCTTCATGCTTGAAGGTCTTTTTCTTTCTCTGAAAATCTATCCTTTCTCCAATAATCTCTCCTTATATCCTGTAGCAGTGATGGCAAAACTCTGAGAGACCGAGCACCCCAACTGCAACCCCAAACCCACTTAGTTATTGCAAAGTGCCAACACTGCAACTAAACCCGAAGATAGAGGTTTTAGTTTAGGAAAAATAACTCATACATTAGCATCCTTTTTCTTAAGAGAAAAACTCAGTAACAGGTGTGCATAGGTTCGGCCACCACAGTCCTGTACAATAGCCTACATGTCTTGGCTGAAATCTTTCATCAAAGACACAAAGAATTGAGGTGTATTGTCAGTTCCTTGCTGTGTTACCTAGCTCCCGGGTAACGCGGAAGGACCCTGTCTTCAAAGAAGGTCATATTCTGAGAGAATGGGGTTAGACCTCCAACTTACAGAGGAAACACAATGCAGACTACAACAGATATTGCCCCAGGGAGGTCAGAAATGGTGAGAGATCGGGCAGGGAGATCTTACTTTATTGATAAAAACCTAAAATGAGGACCTGGAGATCCCCTTCTCCATTTTGTCTCCATTTCTGTCTCTGTCTTGGTGTGGAATTCAGAGCTGTATATATTACACTGTATTGGACATTTTAGTGTGAGTGTTTTCTGATACTAGCAGTGACAACACAGTTTTTAAGTTTATTTTTAAATTGAAGCAAAATGAGGAAATGCAAAACACAAAATAGAACAAAAAACCCCACTACAACAAACCAGCCACACTGAATTGATTGGATAAAAGTAAACTAAAGTTTACTTCTCATGGCACTCCAAGTTCTGTTTATGTAACCCACATACTGGTTATAGGTTAGCTTTCGTAGAGTTTAATGATGACTAATAAAATATGTTAACCAGGTTGGGTGGCACACACCTGTAATCCCAGCACCCTGGTAGCTGAGGGAGGAGGATCACTGTGAGTTCAAGGCCCGCCTGGGCTACATAGTGAGTTCGAGGTCAGCTTGAACCACATAGTGAGTCCCTGTCTCACAAAACAAAACAGTTTAATTCTTCGATTTCATATATTTTTGCCTTTGTTTCTGCATTTGCTGTCTGCTTGTTTGTAGACTTTGTCTATTTTAAGCTGCATTATTCATTTTTTCTTATAAATTCAAAACTACTTGTGTATTAAGTTTATTAACTACTGTCTGGTTGTATATGTTCCAGTTTTTTTCAGTATATGTTACTCTTTTCTTAAGTTTTTTTTCCTGAGAAGCTCTGCAAGCATTACAGATTTTATTCTATTGACACGTAATAATCATACATAGTTATGGAGTAAGGGATGTTTTGATGGATCTTTCTATCTATCTATCTATCATCTATCTATCTATCTATCTATCTATCTATATTGTAACGATATTGATTTGTATAATAACACCTATTAGTGCCAGAAGTAGAGATCTAACATAATTATTGAAGTTGGAAATTCTCATTTAAATGTGACTTTATAATGTGCTAAATTCTCACATAATTTTGGGGGGCCTTGACATTTGTTCCATTTCCATGCCTAACATTGGTGCTACACTGTTTAATTTATCATCACTTTACTGCACCTTTTTACATGTGTTTGGGCAAGCTTTTCATTTTTGTACTCTACTTTCCAAAGAACATCCTTTTGCGTGCTTGTTCTTTAAGACAAAATTTAGAACCATTTTGTTAATTTTTTTACCCTCTATTTTAATTTTCTTGGCTAGAATTTTTGCGTCTTTTACAAAAGTTTAACCTCAGAGCCACTTGCATTTCTGAGGGAGACTCAGGCTTAGGCTGCTTTGAATTATAGGTTCTCAGCTGGGGATGGCATCGACTGTTTTCCATTCCTTAACAGTACTTCCTCACTCACACACTACGTGCACGTCATTCACGTATTTAGTTGCAGGCCAGTCAAACTGCACACAGTTCATAAACGGGGTGAAGATGTTAGCTGTCACTCCTCCCTCTCTCCTTGCATTAGTCCCACTCTCCTGAAGTTTAGGCTTTACCATCCCTAGCCAACAGAGGTCACAAAAGTGCTTTTTATCATCCCTGAAACCTGGGCCAAATTCATGCTTGGACCTGATGCCTTAAGGAGCACGAACACACGGATATGTTTGGAGGGCGCTGTCACATGTTAATTCTTTTTTTTTTTTTTTGTCTTTTTGAGACAGGCTGTCACTGTGCAGCTCAGGCTGGCCTTGAGCTCACTTTGTAGCCCAGGCTGGTCTCGAACTCGCAACGATCCTCCTGCCTCTGCCTCCCAAGTGCTGGGATTACAGGTGTGTGCCACTAAGCCTGGCTAATTCATTCTTCTTTATGAAATCCAGTATGTTTGGGTAAGTATCTTATTACAAGAAATGTACATCTCTTCAAGAGTACGATTCTTAAAACTTCTCCAAACTAAGAAAGTTTTAGAGGAGATTCCAGGCCAAACTCCTAAGCAACAAATCTCACACACAAATCTTTCATTTAATTGGAGACGTGCCCTGGTCACTCCGCATGTTCACTAGCAGGTCGGGATGACCACATGGAAGCTCCCTGGAGTCCAGATTTTTCCCTCACATTATATCTGCATATATATATGCAGATATATAAAATATATTTTATTAATATTTATTAATAAATATTAATATTTATATAAATTATATTTATATAAAATATATATGCATATATAAAAATATATATTTTCCCTCACATTATATCTTAATTTGCACATATTTTTCCACCAGGAACTGAAATAATTAATTTATACATATTTTTATTTCAGGCACTGTGCTAAGTGGTGGGGATTTACCGGTAAAAAAGTCCTTGCTTGTGGGCGTGTATGAAAGTGTGAGTAGGGACACTAAAATATGAGATGAGCCTACAGGAAAGGGTAGGTTTCTCTCAGCGTACGTGCTTCTGGTCTTGGTTTTTGTTGCATATTTTTAGTAGTCCTACGCTATCAGCTTGAAAAAATCAGCTATACTGATAAAATCCCACTGACTGTTTCTTCTTAGGTATTTTACTGGTGCTAAATGACACAAAGGTAAGAATCAGGAACAGGAGAAAGAAGAGGATCATAGCCTTAAAAAATTCTTAAACTGCATAATTGTCCCAAATGTGCGAGAGTAGACACCCTCTACCCAGATAATGACAAATGGAAACTAACTAGAAAGTGTATTGGAAACATACAAAAAGTTAGAAGTATCTTAGAAACATAGATGTGTCTGTAAATTTATGTGATTTCCTGCTCCAGGGTATTCACAGATAAATTTATTTTGCAGTATTTTCTCACTCTTTTATCACCAGTGGCAGCCGCCTTTATTTTTATAGTGTGTGCACACATACATACATTTTAAGGCCCTTTCTTAAAGCAGCACTGCAACTTATAGCAGATCCAAGTCAACTCTTTTCTCTCCTCCAAGCGTTGCCAGTACAGGTGAACACACACACACACACACACACACACACATACACACAGCTTTTGGTTGCCCAATTTATTGTTAAACAAAAATAATGATGTCATCTTTGCTTAGAATTCTTTTTCTCGGTTTCCACCTCCTCAGTGACTGCACTGTATGTCGAATGGATGGTACTTTGAAAGCACAGAAGGAGAGAAACAAAGGCACCGCACACAAATTGTCTCACACACAAATTGTCGTGTGGGCTGCTTCCCTCAGTGGCTGTGTATCACGAACCTGTTCTCCATGTCAGAGTCCTTTATCTTCAGTGTGAATTTTAGCAACTTCTAAGTGAATCATCACAGGGCTGCACAGAGCTTATATGGCTATTGCTCTGTTGCTGGGCATAGAAATAGCATTATGTTGTGTTCAGGGGATAGGGCTCAGCAGCACAGTGCCTGCCTGGCAAGTGCAAGGTCCTGAGTTTGATTTCTGGTAACAAAAAAAAAAAAAAAAAAAAAAGAAGGGGAGGAGAGCACTTTATTCACTTTGCTGAGGTTTCTGTCCCTTGCAGTGACAGTCTTGGCCTTTTTCTGGCCTTTGGGGTGAGGACCTGGGCCTGTGTGGCTCACAGCTGCTCCTCTTGGGATCTAGATTCATAGCGGAGAATGGCCATTGCTCTGCGATGCCGGTGCAGGCGACCTGTGACAAGAAGCTCAGTCCATTTAGTGCAGGACTCCATACTGGGAGCAGTGCTGTGGCTGCACACCCAAGCCTGGGCCTGGGTCGTCACAGCTGACAGTTTAATCCTTGGTCAACTGTGTGTCCTCTTGGGAGTGCTCTCTTTGTATAAATGTCAGGATCATTATGTACATCCAAAGTGTACCAGTAAACTTAACTATATATATAAAAAATGGGGATTTTCCTGGTTCAAAGTTGAGCCCTGTTGTCCCTCAGTGCTGGTTCTGGGATCTCCAGAGTTGAGCTCTGTTGTCCCTAAGTACAAGTTCAGGGATTCCAAACGCTGAGGATGACCAGCTCCTTTATGTGAAATGGCAAAGCATTTGGAAAGGACCCATGTACACCCCTCCGTACACTTCAGTTCACCTCTAGATTACCTACAGTATTTCCTAAAATATAAATACTCTGTGAGCAGTTGTTATACTGTGCTGTGTTGTTTAGAGAATGAGAAGAAAACACTCTGCTTGTTCATTACAGGTTTAGTTTTTAAACAGTGCTTTCGATCTGTAATTGGCTGAATCTGCAGACCCAGGATGTGTGAAGACGGAGGGCCAGTTGTTTGTTTTCGGCCATTGGATGCACATTTTCATATTCCTCTCTAGGAAGTTGGTACCAATACTGAGTCCTTGTACCACAGATTACAGTTATGATTGCCTTTGAAAGCTTAAATATTTTTCAAAGGCCTGTATCTAATACTTAAGATATACTGTTTAAAACTACATGTTATATGTAAAATGTACATTATATTTACATGCAAATATATTGAAATTATATAAAATATACTTAAAAACTGATGTTACCCAGAACAGATATTAGAAATGGAAAGAGAAAGTTAGGACATCATTTATTGAGTTCTGAGCCATCTGAGAGCTTTCATATGAAATAATTTTGGTCATTTGATGTGTATTTGTCTGTATGAATGTATGTTTCCATTAAGTGATTGTAAAGGGGCCATTTGGTGTAAGAAACACAAACAGCCTGAGTTCGATTCCTGGTACCGAAAAAAAAAAAAACACAAACAGGAGATTTAAAAGGTAGATCATTTCATTTGTAGAAGTAGGGGTGGGCTGTTGAATTGATAAAGATCAGAAAGACCTCCAAAGATGTTGCCGGGAACTCCCTCCGCCATCACCCTAGAGCAGTGCTGGCGACCCATGGTGCTTGTGCCGCAGCGGGCTGTTTGTATCATCGAAAGCTCTAAAAGGTTCACCATCACTGCCTGAGGGTTAAATGATGATGCATTCATTGCTTTGAGAAGCTGGAGATTTTATTTTCATGAATCACAGATGTTGAGGCACCAATTATTCTACACAGAGGCTTTCTAACCAGAAACGGGAGCGTTGTGAATATCCAGTCTCTTGCATGGACTTGAAATCCAGTGGGAAGTCTTCCCCCATCCGTTGAAGGTGTTCAGGGGAAGTGGCGCCGACCTCCTTGTCAGTACTGGGTGAAGTTGGCTATGATGTGCTCGTGGTTGAAGGGTACATAGTAAGTAACTCCTGGAAAGGAACAGAGCATAACCCAAGGTGACCGTGGTGTGCATGTAACCACCCCTACCCCAGAGGGTCAGCCTATCAAATGCTAGAGGAGTCAAATCGCCCTAGAGAGAAATGAGCAGGGTGGTTAGTGTGGAACAAACATGGAATTGGGACGTAGGCGCTCTTGTTTCCTGTGTGTAGGTCGCCACTGAGAGGAGCATGTTTGCAGGAGTCCCCTCAAGATGAGTACCAGCCTCTTCTCCCTCACAGTGTCTTAGTTACCCTTTTCCTTGCTGAGACAAAATACCTGACACCGAAAGTTATTTTGTTTTATTTTATTTTGGTACCAGGAATTGAACTCTGGACCTTGCACTTGCCAGGCAGGCACTTATGTCACTGAGCTATATCCCCGGCCCCAAATGCTTATTTAATTTAATTAATTAATTAATTTATTTTCTGACACCGAAAGTTAAAGGAGGAAAGGCTTATGCAGCGCATAATTGGTAGAAGTTGCAGTCCATAATCAGTGGGCTCCAAGGCAGGCGCAGAAACAGTTCGTGACAGCAGAAATTAGCAAAAGCAAGCAAATAGCGACAAGATGATTTCTCGCCATTATACCTTATCCAGGCTGCCTCTCTGTAAGGACGGTAACACTCACACCCTTAATCCTAGCATTGCACTGTGACTCAACCCCAGCCTCACATCCTCGATCCCAGCAGAACTGTGCCTTAAGCGATCAGTGGACTGATTTAGTAATGACACAGTCTAGCTCCAGCCGGCTCTGAAAAGCCCCATCGATGGCCACGTGAGACTTTGGGAGGACATCTAGATACAAGCCATAACACCTAGGAATTTCATCATAATATTTCTTTTGAAGACTTTCAGGATTAGAAGTAATGACTGCTGGGTGCCTAGCACAGTACCCAGTAGATAGTAGTTGTGCAATAAATGGCTTATTTAGGCTAAAATTGGAGCATTCAAAGTTGTATCTCACATTCACTTTTGAAGATTTTGTGAGAAATAAGGAAGGGCAGTGGGTTGACAATTCTTGTCCCTCAGGACAGGAAAGATATGTGATGACGGCTGGGGATATAGCTCAGCGGCACAAGTGCCTGCCTGGCAAGCGCAAGGTCCCGAGTTCGGTTCCCGACACCTTCCCCAAAAGATACAAGTAAGATATGTGATGACGACATCCATTATTTTTCACATAGTTCAGGCAACAGAAAGAATGATAATTTCAGGACCAAATATTTTTTGGGGCCTCAGAGATTTCTCCTTTCCCCTCCTTTCTCCTAGAGAAGAAAAGTACATAATTGGCAAATGTGAAAATAAGCCATGTTGGGCGTGGTGGTGCATGTCTATAATTCCAGGCTGAGGCAGGAGGATTGTTGCAAGTTTGAGGACAGCCTAAGCTACACAGTGACTTCCAGGCCAGTCTGAACTACACAGTGAGACCTTGTATCAAAACAAAAATAAGCCTAATTTAAGTTGCCAGGGCACTCTCTTGAGAAAGGTAGTAGAAAAATGAAAACCAATAAAAGATAATAAGCATTTACCATACTCCATGCAAAAGGCACTGTAATTATTAATTTAAAGCACATTATTTCTAATCCTCATAATAACTCAGGAAATAGTTATTGGCGTTTCCATTTTAAAGCTATAGAGACTGTGGACCGGATATGATGGGTTACTTGAACATGTAGTTCTTAAACACGAAAAGGGGCTTCAAGTCTTGTATGACCCCAAGGTCTTTCTTACATGCTTTGCTGCAATCCTGCACATTCTGGCTCACCAAGTTTTGTTGACCATATGATAGATGCTAAGAAAGACATCTCTCCGTTGTAAGGCTGGGTACTGAAGCCTTTTATCAAGCCGTAGCCTCGCTCTGCTGTGACTTGATTTGCCTTTACAGATTCTCCACGTGGTGACAACTAGCATCAGCTTGGCCTGCTTACATCAACCTTCAGCAGAGCCATACACCAGTGCTCTTTAAGTTGCAGGGTATTTTAGCATTTCTACAACTTTAACGGATGTGAAGATTTGCCTGGAGTCTGAGTTTTATTCCTCTACTTTTTGTGCCCAAACATGCAGGCACAGATATTCCTTTCAGTAGAGATTTGAAAAATAACATGGGCCGGGCATGGTGGGGCATGCCTGTAATCCCAGCCCTTGGGAAGCTGAGGCAGGAGGATCATTGCGAGTTTGAGACCAGCCTGGGCTACAAAGTGAGCTCAAGGCCAGCCTGAACTGCATAGCGAGACCCTGCCTCAAAAAGACAAAAAGAAACAACCAAACAAAAAACCCCAAAAAAAACCATGAAAGAAGAAAGTGAAGGATGGGTTTCCTTCTTTGTAAAAAGCCAGTCCTTGATACTTATAAAGTTGATCTATCTGCCTAAAAATTATGTGTATGTCTGTGCATACATATCTGTAACTCACGTATATAACTGTAACTGCATATACAATCTGACATTTATGTATTGATTAAATGATGAAAGAGATAAATAATAAATGAAGCCGTCAGACTCTGGAAAAAGTGAATGGCCTTTTCTTACCTTCATTTATAGGTGTCCCGTCGCTCAGGAACTGCCAGTACGTCTTGTGATTGACATTTTCAGCAATGTTGTTGATAGAAGAAACAATCAGGCCCCAAGATGTCATTGTCAGTTCAAACCTGAGAAGGAAATTGCATGTGATCAATGTCTCACTCTAGGTCAGGCCGTAAAGGGCAAAATGAAGGGATACAGGGGCTGGGGATTTAGCTCAGCGGCACAGCTCCTGCCTGGCAAGTGCAAGGTCGTGAGTTCGGTTCCCGGTACTGGGGGCAGGGGGGTGGAGAAATGAAGGGATATACAGCCATTCTAGGTCCTTTAAGATTAAAATGACTAATGAATATGAAATGACTTCACTTGATAGTAAATGAAATGAAAATGAATGATTTTTAAAAAGCAAATTAAAAGTGTAAATGCCCAACAATGGATGAAAATTTGATGAGTGATAGAGTGCATATCCAAAATTGAAAATTTGAAAGTTATAAAAATATTTAATAATTTTCAGTAAAATAGGAAAACACTTATGTAGTAATATTAAATGAACAGATGGGGTGCAAATCTCACAGAACTATCTGTCGCATGTAGCTGATGAATCACAAGCACTTGTAATACAAAATTAGAAAAATAGTAGTTTTTATTGTGAATGAACTGTGCCTGCATGTTTGTTTTCTTCTTAATAATTTTTTGTCAAAGTTTTACCACGTGTATTTCTTATATTTACAATCCAGGAAAGGAAACTAAGGTAACATTAAACCTAGGCTTAGAGAAGTGAGTATATTTGGAGGATCTGAAACTTCAATTGCTTCCTTTCCACAAGCTGGCCCCTTTCCTGACTCTGCCTAAACTGAGATTTCTCCATGGTTTTTTTTCTGCTTTTTCTTTTTGCAAACTGTCAACCTTCCCCAACCTTTAATTTTCTCCTCTGTGATTTATTTCTGTATTCTCCCTCTCCCTGACAGGGTAGTTGAAAAAAATGTGAGCTTCAGCGTCTGTTAAGGTGGGGCTCAGCTTTCAACTCTCCTGCTTACACTTTATGTGACTTTAGGAATATTTTTTATTAAGAAATGTTTTTTGAAAAGCAACTATACTTCCACTTCATGGCAACAAACATGAACAAAACACATCATTTACAAGAGTATTAAAATATGAAGTAGTGATAAATCTCACTACAAAATTTGCAAGATCTATATAAGAAAACTAGAAAACATTACAGAGAAATTGAAGATTTCAAGAAACATTTTGAGATGAAACACTTAAAGATAACAATTTTCCAAAGACTGGCCTAATAATCTAACTCTAATGAAAACTTCACTTTTTAAAAAATTGACAGGTTTTTCCAAAATTGCTAGAAAAATCCAAAAGACTTGAAGTCATTAAAACAGTTTTGAAAACGAAGAAAAATTTTGGAAGGCTAACATGACATTATTTTCAGAATTAATATACATTTATAATGTCTTATTTACTCTTTCAGCTTTTCACACTAGGGAGATACTATGATGCTTACACATATGAGTCTGATTTATTTCACTCATGAGTATGAACTCTAGTTTCATCCATTTATCTATAAAAGTCTCTATCCTTTTTTTTCATGGCTGAGTAATACTCCATTGTATAAAAAAATCCACATCTTGTTTTATTCATTTCTTGGTTGATGGGCATTTGGGTTGTTTCCAAGAGTTTTCTATTACAAATTGTGCTGCAGTAAACATGGCTGCATATATATTACTATGGTATGATGTTTTTAATTCTTCTGGGAAGATTCCCAGAAGGGGAATAGCTGGGTCCAATGGGACCTCCAATCCTAGTTTTTTTTAAAGGAATATCCAGAATGACTTCCACGGTGGTTTCACCAGTTTACACTCCCACCAGCAGTGGAGAAGTGTTCCTTTTCTTCACAGTACTGCCAGCATTTATTATTGCTTTATTTCTTGGTGATACCCATTCTTGCTCTGGTGAGACTTCATCTTGGTGTTGTTTTAATTTGCATCTCTCTCTCTCTCTCTCTCTCTCTTTTTTTTTTTTGTCTTTTTGAGACAGGGTCTCACTATGCAGTTCAGGCTGGCCTTGAGCTCACTTTGTAGCCCAGGCTGGTCTTGCAACAATCCTCCTGCCTCAGCCTCCCAAGTGCTGGGATTACAGGCGTGCACCACCACGCCCGGCTAATTTGCATCTCTCGAATGACCTGTGATGTTGAATATTTCTTTTTTAAGAATATTCTTTAACTTCCTTGGGTTTAATTGCCCTATCTGCAAAGTGGGAATAATGGAGGTGTCTCACGGTCTTGTTTCACTTTGTTTTAATTTTTTAAAAAAATTTTTTGGTTTTTTTCTGGTACCGGGAATTGAACTCACGACCTTGCGCTTGCCAGGCAGGCGCTGTGCCGCTGAGTTAAATCCCCAGCCCCTAGTTTCACTTTGTTTGACTATATTTCAGAGCGCGCGTGTCTGCCTCCTCCTCGTGGTTCCTTAGCGGCGTTCCTCGCTGCTTTCAGATGTCTGTCCCATCCCTCGCTCATCCAGACCTCCTCTTTTGGGCCTTCTCCGAAAGCCTTCCAAGGTTTCTGATTTGAACACCCTCAGTGACACAACCTGAGGAACCGGATCTCCTCTCTGAAAGATGGTCTCTCTCCCTGACACTCCCATCAGTGGTTGTGAAGCTGCTTTTTCTTGAGCCCTGCAGCCAGCCACCGTGAGCTTTCCTTGGCATGGCCTGCTTATCCTTGGTACAGTGCTTGTCCGGTCACAGCATCCGTAGTTAGTCCCGCCCCAGCTTTCCTCGTCTCCTGCCCCCACACCCAAGTAACGCTGCAGCATGGATTGCCTCGGTCCAAAGCTCGCAACGCTTTAATTTGCATTTCTCGGAAGGCCAGTGGTGTTGAACATTTTTTTTTTTTTCCATGTACTTATGGGCCGTTTTTGTTTCTACTCCTGAGAAGTGTCTATTCATTTCAGTTCCCCATTTTTTGATTGGGTCTTTCATTTGGTAAGTCTAATTTTTTGTAGTTCTTCTTATATTCTAGATATTGCGGAGGTCTTTCCAAGGACGGGCTGGCAATTTTCTTTCCCATTTGGTAGGTCGTCTCTTCACTGTTCATGGTTTCCTTTGCTATACAGAAGCTTCACAGACATAGCTCAGCGGCAAAGCGCCTGCCTGGCAAGCACAAGGTCATGAGTTCGGTTCCCAGTACCGGAGAAAAACCAAAAAAAAAAAAAAAAAGAAGCTTCACAGACAAATGCATAAAGAGAGTGTGGTATTGTTGACTTTCCTTGGGAGCCTTATATACAACTGGTATACACAGTGGTATGGTACACACAGCACTCCCAAATGGAGTCATTTGTCCGACAGTGGATGCTGCTTGAAAATGTAAGCTTAAGTGAAATAAATCAGACACACAGGTTTAAAACTGTATAGCTTCTCTCATGTGAGAAATTCAATGCATAATTATTAAGAGCAAAATAAAAGACGAGAGGAAACAAGGAGATAGATCTAGTGTAAGTGGAAAAGGGGTGAAGAGACGGAGGGAGGCGAGAAGCCCTGGAGGGGACCGTCACTTACACCTACCGCATAGCCATCGTGGAAGTAGTTACTATGGCTCTCAGACACGCACCAGTGCGGACACTAAGACAACTTGCAGTGCCGTCGGAAGGCTGATCTCCTGCCCTGGGATTTCGGGTCTCTCACCGCCTCACCCAGCCTTCTCTTCCTCCTGTGTTCTCTCCTGGTGAAGCTCGCTACTCCGGGACCCCAAAGTCCTCGCTCACTGCTACCTCACATGCTTCTCTGTAGCCATTTCTTCTGCCTGAAAGGAGCCGGTCCCCCTCCTCTTCCTAAACAGCAACTAATTCCTGTGCCCCAAAGCCCCAGAACCCTCTTTGACTATTCCAACTCACCATCTCTGCTTTGAATTTCTGGTACTACAACTCTCTATTGATTTGGATGATTTAACTTTTTATTCTTCCTTTTCTTTTTCTTCATTTTGAAAAGAAAAGAATAAAAAATACCAAAAGCAAAACAATACAAAATCTGTAAAAATGATACAGAAGTTTGGTCGGTCTTGCATACCTATATCTGGTAATCTGAGCAACTACCTTGACGATAACAATAAGTAATACAACAACCATTGTTGATTTCCAATCATCTTTTTTTTTTTGTACCGGGAATTGAACTCAGGACCTTGCACTTGCCAGACAGGCACTGTGCCACTGAGCTAGATCCCTGGTCTGATTTCCTATCATCTTGATTTAACTTTTTAAAGAAAGTCTTTTGTATTTACTAGACTACAAGCTCTTCAAGAGGCTCTTAGATAAAAATATGCCAGCTTGCTCAGGAGAATCATAAGAAAATGAAGGAAGAAGAGAGCATGGGAATTTGGTTCAGCGGAGGAGCATGGTGACCACCACATGTAACACTCACTTAAATATTGGGTTTTTGCGCTGGGCTTCCTGTAGGACCAGGAGCAGCACCGATCCGGCTTTCACGCTGACCTCGATGGTTGCCTTGAAAAGCAGCTCCACCCCTCTCAGCTGGTTGTTGATGGTGTAAATGACGGTGATGTTAGATGCCAGGGTGGGGACTGCGGTGGGATAGACGGGGACAGATGGTGGCACCACTTGATCTGCGAAGAACAAAGTGATCACTTCCGTCAGCGGTTATAGGGTTTCTATGATAGATGCAAAACCTCTGTGAACGCCAGCTTACCCCAGAGAGGGTGTCAAGGAAGCAGCGAGTTTCAGAGCAGTTAACGAGGCACTCGGACAGCTAGAATCCTGGCAAAGCTCCCCAGCGGTCTTGTGAATGTAGGGAAACCACCGGGAAGCAGGCTGAGGTGTTGGGAAGATGTTTTAGGTTTGATACATTTGGGATCAATTTGCTAGATTTTGATCTCTGTAGCTTTTTCTTTGTGATAGACAAGAAATTTGTAATTTTTTCTTGTTTTAAGAAGTCCATGCACTGTAAGTGGGTAATATGTTAGTATTTGATTAGAAAGAACTAGAGAAGCAATTACCTCTGCAGTGGTACAAATTTTGTGATGAATACTTAATTTCTAAACATGTCTTTCTGCAGTGTTTCAATTTTAAGTGTTTTTTTGTATTATATTTATAATTGTCCCAAGTAACCAATATGAAGATAACACTATGTAATACAACCGTTGTTCATTTCTTACCCCTTGTCTGAAGTTCTGTATTGTTTTTATGTTGTTTCGTTTATGTCTGTGTGTTTGTTAATATGTTTTTGTTCTTTTATCTTTAAAAATAAAAAATATAATTGTAGAAAATAAAGATATTTCAGATTAAAAAGTAGGATGCCTCATTCTACTCTATCCCTTTGGGGTTCTATGAGGCCCAAGCTTTCATAGTTAGATCTTTAAGGCTTGCTGAAATGTCATCTGCATAGATTTAATTTCTGTTTAATACCTGTTTCATTATTCTAAACACTGTAGCTCTTTGTGTACATATCAGTTTCTGACTTTGTAAAGAGCAGATATGATGCCATGTACGTGACATCTGGTAGCATGTTTGTCAAGAGAAGGAATGAAACCATGTCGTTGATGGGAACATGGGCCTCCCACCCCTTGTACCCCACAGTGGGCTTTCCCCATAGCAGGCGCTCAGGAAATAAACGCCGCGTGTTATAGACAGGGGGCTGGATGATTTGGCTGTGTGGCGGTGCACCCCCTTGGAGACTGGAAGTCAGACAACGTAACAAGCTTGTATGCCACATAACATCGATCCCCACTTCATCCCTGTTGTGTGTTGCTGCTTTTGGACAGAAGAAGAGGCAGATGTTAAAAGAGTTCTTACCAGAACCACAGATCACTTGGGGAACATCTAAGTAGGTCTTGCCTTTCAGGGATGGGAGGATTTGAGCAATGGACATAGGATTCTGGAATTTTCCCTCCTTAATCTCGTCAAGTACGGTAGCCATCGTTTTCTCACAGTCCCACGCCTTGCTGGGCTGCTCAGGTGTCACAGAGAGAGCCTTGGGACAGGGGAGTAGGAGACAGACAGAGACTGAGAAATCAGGCACAGGTCAAGGTTGGCTTGTACCTGCCTCTAAGGGACAGACTCGGCCCATAATCTTAGTGATCATTCAGAATTCAGTGTGAAGCGACACAAGGACTGGGACTACACTCACCATCTTCAGCGCTACATGTGCACCCCTCGGTGCCGTATCCGTCACATAGTAGTCGCAGGACAAACATCTGCGCAGCGATCAGCTTCAGAGAGCACTGCCAGGGCTGCCGTGCTCATGAGCAGGTGTGGGTGTAGAGTGAGGGTGGCACTCAGCCAGGCAAGCTCCAGAGAAGACAGTACTCTAGGACGACCTGGCACCGTATATGCCTCCCATGTATGACATTGTCACACACACCCTTTGTGGACTTCTCCCACAGTTGTAACTGGGTCGGGACTGTCAGTCTGAGGCTCCCCGGGCACAGGGTAGATTCATGGGCTGCACCGGGCTGACCGGAGAGCCCTGTGCCCTTGGGGAGGTGGTTGGTGGGTATGTGTCCTATCCAGCGTACAGACACTGGGGGAGAGAGACATTTATTTTCATGCTGCGGTTGTTCATCTGGGACCATGTGCACAAATACTGGATGGCCAGTGACCACCTTCCTTAGCCAGCTTGAAGAAGCCATGCAGAATGGGGGAAACCAGGGCTGTGGAATGGCAGGAAGCGTGGCTCCTCATTTCATGGTTGGAGCCCTTATTTCAGCTATTTCTGAAGCCATCTGGTCTAGCCCTGGATTTCCCAATATAGGTGAAATAGTAAGTCCCTATTATTTTTCCTCATGCAACAATGACTCGGGCTCTGTCACTTGCAAAATGAATCTTGATTAATGCATTGAGCCACTTACCCCACATTGCTGAGTTTTCTACCTTGTAGGTAGAATAGAAATCATAATTCCCACCTATCACTGGGGCATGTCATTTGATGGGGGAAAGGATTTTGTAGTGCAGGACGTAGCACACGTCTTGGTGCCCGCCTCCTCATTACAGCTGTGCTGTGTGGGCCAGCAAGGCATGGTCAGGCGCCGGGGTTGGTGACGACCAATTTGCCTGAAGCTGGGAATGGAGTTGGAAGAAGGTGGAGGGGAGTGAGAAACGGTCGCTCCTCTGGAGAGCAGTGCGGGCGCTTGGAGGGTCGTGACAGGGGTGACTTTGGAAATCAGGGGCTATGACTCTTGCTAAAAGCCACTTGAGGAAGTAGTTTGGCTTAAGAGTCATCATCAGGCGGATACGCCTCAGCAAAAAAAATCATCCTACATTGCACCAAGTGAGAAATTCCCCTTGGAATAAAGCATTGCCAATGCCAAGCCTCCAGAGGGTTAAGCTGGTATGGGGCCACGTGAAGGACACTGACATTCCGGAAGTAGGCAAGCAAAGGGCGAGAACCTTTACTAGCTCTACTGTTCTGCCAAGAGAGACCGTGAACGGCGGGCATGGCATTGTACCTGTGATGTTTTTGGACATCATACTTCTTTTAACCTAGCTGTTACTGTGGAGAAGGTTAAATTCAGAGAAAGTCAATATTTGTTCAAGATGGTGGTGGATCTGGGGTTGAAACCCAAGTTGTTATAGCTTTGAGCCCTTTGATCTCTATACTAGAACATTTTAGATTACACCAAGGGTATAGTGTAGACCTCTGCTGATTCCAGATGAGAAGCTGCCTGGGTAAACTCCAGATACGGGCAGTAAGGAGGAGGGGAGGGGGAAGTCACGTATCTTAACTGACAAGAAATCCACATGGCCCGTGGTATCTGGATACAGCTTATCAAAGGTACCTAGCCACTGATAAGATCCTGAATAGAATCCGTGAGCCAAATCTGAAGAGTCAACCTTTCTTAGCCTGGCATGAAGTAGAAGTAATGTTATTTTAAGAGAGTAGCTCTACCCATCCCCACCGAAATTTTATATCCATTGCATTTATTCCTCCCAGCCTACCTGCTTTCTTCCACCAGAGTTGAGCCCTGGGAATAATCTTATGTGATTTACCCATGGAAAAAATGAGCGTTTTTCTATGAAAAAATCTCATTGACCATATCAGAAACTGACTTTGTTCTTATCAGTCACTTCTGCACATGGTACGTTGGGGCGGAAGTTTGCTCAGTGTGAACTAATTTTTGGCTGCCTATGCCCTTGTCTAGTTTTTTAATATATGGATATTAACAGTGGTCTCCACTTTTTCTCTCAGGGGACAATTTATTTTTCAGAAGAGTCCAGAACTGTACTTCATTTATGGCTAGCAGCAAAACCCTGTGATTCTCCCTTTTTATTAAGCACTGTAAATACAAACCTGCTTTTTTAGATTAAGATGAAAGTTTGAAAAAAGAACATTGGGCTGCAAGCCTGAATTTAAAAATTCAGTATTTTAAGCACTTACGTTAAATATCATTATTTATACATAAAACACTCAATAGTCTATATTTAGTACTAGTGAATTGTTGTCATTAATAACAACCCAAAATGTCCTTGGATTTTTTCCATTTTTCCAAGGCAGGAAAATTCCTCCACATAAGGTTGTTTTCATGCTGTATTTGTGTTTTACCAGTAGAAACATGGAGGCCCAGGCACCGGAAGCATCATCCCCAAGTCATACTGGTTGGCATTTCCAGAGATATTTGATGCCTGCTCTCCTGACCCCAGAGTCCAGGCTGGTTGGCATGGACTCAGTCTCGAGCACCCAGGATGGGTTTACCTGCATGGCAAGGCCAGTACTGTAAATGTTTCCGATGATGCCATTGTCTCTGATCCTCAGGCTGATATTCTCCACTGTGCTCTGCAGTACATGACCAAACAGGGTTCTGTAGCTGTTCCCGGAGCCTACGGGGATCTTGTTGTACATGCACGTCAAAGCCAAGGCCGCCACTGCTCCCGTGCCTGTGAACCACGGGGGCAGGGCCGTTAGCACCACCATCGCCTCCACAGTTGAACAGCCAAGTGTCACGTTCTCACTGCATTCGGGTCAGAAGATCCGTTCAGCCCTCAGGACAAGCTGTGAAGTAGTCCCTGCGTAGTTTAGGAGGTGGGCAAACGGAGGCTCAGAGGGGTTAAGGAGCTGCCCGAGGCCGCACGGCCAAGACGTAGCAGGGCCAGAATTTGCACCCGGCTTAACAGCTCATGCTTTTCATTAATGAAGGTTGGCACTGTGCTCAGTCCCACGTCTCTTGCCCCATTTATCTCCCCTGAATTCGTCATTCTTTCTTTTTCTTCTTTTTTGGTCTTTTTGAGACAAGGTTTCACTATGCAGTTCAGACTGGCCTTGAGCTCACTTTGCAGCCCAGGCTGGCCTCGAACTCGCAATGATCCTCCTGCCTCAGCCTCCCGAGTGCTGGGATTATAGGCGTGCACCACCACATACGGCAATGTCACTGCTCTTGAAGGCCTGGGTGTCACTCCTTGTCTGTGAAGCCTTCCTGGTCTCCCCATAATGGCATGCACAGTCTCCATCCTGAACTCTAGCGTGTGTTTTTGTGTCTACTTTGCCATCTCAGTACTCTCCGATGTACTATGTTGTTGCTCTGCTCTGTGAATGCTTGGGTGGCAGGAACATGGCACCCCCACGGCACCCAGAGAAGGGATTTTTCATCATTGGTACATGATGAACACTGGATGGAATGAGCAAGCTCTGGGATAATAAGACCAGAACAAATGGAAAATTTGCCAGATGGCGTCTTTTATCCTATTGACCTTTCCCTCCCACCCTATGCTGAAAGTTGCGTAATTTCATTGAGGATAATAACGTTATTGAAACCCAAAGACAAAGAGCCCAAACTTCTTGAACTGGCCGAGATGCCCCAGTAATGCATGAGGTTTCACATGGGAAAAGGAGACCCATACACAGGGAGCTAGAAGAATATTTACCTGCTTGCTTGTCTGATAGAAACTGAAATCTGAGGCGCTTCTGCCGAGGTGTGTCTGAGAAGTGAAAGCGGAGATAATGCTACAGCTCAGAGAGCAGCAGAGGAGGAAGCGGACCATGAGAGAGGCAGGCCCTGAGGGTGGCCCGTGCGGGATCATTCTACAATGAGAGGTGGGCAGAAAACGGATCTGGTGTGGCAGAGGAGCAAGCTTCCATTCCACACAGGCATAAGCTTGTGGAGGCAAGGAGCCAGAGGGCCCCCCATTTCTGGGAGGGTTTAGGGTTCAAGTAATAGCTGTTTAATAGAAAGAGGATGTGTGGTTCAATATGGAGAAGCACCAAGGGGAGCAGAGGGTGCTGCCCTGGCAGCAGTTAAAGAGGCTGCAAGGCAGGGTGGATGCGAGATTTAATTAATTTGATTAATTTGCTATTTAGCTTGGAAAAAACTTCTGACTTGAGTGACAGGTTTATTATTCCCAGTTGAGATTTTGTAGCTTCTGGACCTTTCAAGTACTGCCCTTGCGTCTACATGTTACGACCTCCTGTCTTTTGCTCCTCAATTTACGTGTCCAAGAAACACCTGTGAAGTTTTCCTGTCTAGATGCACTTCCGTGGTCTCAGATCCTCCGCGGGAAGTGCTCCACGTGGCCTACCAGCTCCAGCACGGGGCTCAGGGCAGCGTCCGGGGGTGGCCGCCTACTTACCCACGTCGAAGGGAGCGGTGTTGGCCAGCAGTGCCTTAGCAAAGCCCACTGCCATTGGCAAGGTGGCCTCGGAGTTCTTCTGGCACAGCGCCAAGACCGCCAGACCGGGAGCGTAGAAGGCTGTGGCTTCCTCATGGGGACCTGGGAGAGGGAGAGAGTGCGGTCATCACGCTGGGGACACTGGTGAAGCCGGCAAAGCCAAAGCTCTTCAACAGAAAAGAAACCTGTCTCCAAAGAAAGGCACAGTCACGGAGAAGGGTCACCCCACCGTCACTCGGAATGAGAATATTATGTGGCGTTTGGATGCAATGGGAGCGAGGATGCTGTCTGCAGACAGAGGTGGCCTGACCGGTCCTTGTGGTGCGGACACTTGGCTTTCTGGTCCATTTTGGCTCAGAAGGGAATCCCTCGCAGGTGGGACTGGCCGAGTGGAGGGGACATCGTGCCTCTTTTCTAACGTTCCACTCTCAGCACCTGCACCCTTTTCCTTGCTGGGCTCCAGGTTCTCAGGACGGTCCCAGTGCCACACTACCCCCCATTCCCAGGAGGTCTCACCCGGAGCCGCCCAGAGCTCCATTTCTCTTTGTAGAGCAGACACTTTGCTCGCAGTGTCTCTGCAGGAGGAGGTGAGGGCCATGATGTTGAGGGCAAGTTGTCCCACGGTGAGGTCTGCAGAGGAACAAACAGGACAGCGACACAAAGGGACAGTCTCAGGGAGTGACCACAAGGGCCCAGTCGGGCTTCCTGCTTTTATCTCAGAATCATTTTGATTTTTAAAACAGTGGCCTTGCATAAGTCTTTGATCTGTCTTTCCAAACAAAGATGGAAGGATACTTAAAGGAATATTGAATCTAGGATCTTCTCTGTGACTTGACGACTGCATGGGGAATCCTAGGTTTATCTGGTTAGAAAGAGGCAAAACATCCGTCCAAATTTATCTACAAACATCCACAGTTACAAAATAATTTAAATTTTGTTATTTAACTTGAGCCTCCAAGTAATTCTGAAGTATGCAGAATAGAGATTTGTTGTCAATACCATTGCTATTAGTTGTATCTACAGCACTACTAGAGTGTAGGATGAGGAAGAGGCACCAGGACATGCAGAACCGGAAGCCTGCTATTTTTATATCTATCTGGGGCTCTTTCTGTTGTCCTGACCTGCTGTCTGAATGCTGAGAGCTCACGCTGACTTCCTTCTAGGTCTTCTGTAGGGAGAAATGATTTAGGTACAGTCACAGGCGGCATTGGGGTGCAGAGTGGCACCGAGCTGGGCTGGGGAGTACTGGCCAGTGGAGTGGCATTCAGGGAGCAGGAGCAGGTCTTGGGTATCTCACCAGCAGGGTTACTGGCCAGCAGTTCTTCAGTCAGGAGCTTCTGGGCCTCCAGGTTGTAGGGTCCAGCCAAGTTCATGGCAATCAAGATGCTGGGGTTGGGAAATGCCGACCGGGTCACCGAGTTCTCCATGAGCACTTGTATGCCGTCCACCAAGGGCTGCTGTCCCGACGGGACGGCTGGGAAGACAAAAGCCCTTTACCAGACCCCTCACCACCACCCTCGTCTTAGAAACACGATCCCCAGGTCTCCCGCTCTTGCCCGGTATCCTAAGTGGTTAAAGAGAAATGCAGAAAACATTTGCAATTTTTCTTCGATAGCCAACCAGTCCTTACCTCTTTTCAAATACCCCATTCTACTAACTTTAAGCACTATGGCTCGCAGACCTTCTGTGTGATTTCCAGCACTTCCTTAGAAATGGATTTCCTTGCATCTACCTCCCCCCAGTCTTCCGTGAATGATGTGGATCTGGGGTATGACCTGCACGCAGCTGGCACCGAAGCCCCCTGCTCCTCGTGGTCCTGGTCTCCAGGGCCACTGAGTATCTGTGCCGGCAGCCATCATTCTTGTGTGTAGGGGTCATTCAACCTCTCTTAGTAAAACATCTGCCACCCCCATTCCCAAGGAACTTGTTCTGTTAAAGCAGGAAAGATGCGGCCACCCACTGGCACCCACCTCCACTTACCTGCTGGGACCCCTACAGCGATCGCTAGGTCAACCCCCTTCTCCTCGGCAGACCTCAGTGCCCGGGATCTCTGCCTGCACCCAGGGTCACAGTTGTCCTGTCCCGCTCGGAACAAGCACCATACTCACAGCATGAGCGTCTGACCTGGGCAGAGGTCCCAGCTGTAGCCCAGAGATGGCTCAGGAGGAAGAGGGCAATCCAGGCCATTTCACTCTCTGCTGTCCCGCGCCGTCTCCCCACTCACAGGTCCAGTATCTGCAGGTGGAGTGTTTCTCACCTTCTCATATGTGCGTATCTTTGCAAAAGAGTCTGCCCCTCACCCAGCCACTCCTAAGTACCTGTGTTGACCTCTCCTTCCCTGGATAAGCAAATTTCCATTTGCTTAACTATGTTTACTTACGATATGGACCTCTGATAGGTTTTGAAGGTGACTTCTAGACAGGTAGACAAGCAACAAGGCCAACGATGAAAATATATCCTTTGTCGGATTCCTGTATCATTACCTTAGAAGTTTGGCTAATGTGCAAGTATGAACAAGTCTTTTCCTAGGACTTATCCTATGGGGTCAAGGAACCTTGCGATTGTTCATCTGCAGCCACTTTCTTGAGCTTGGGAGGCCATAGGCATCAGCTCATTTCAGGGTCCAGGACTGCCTTCGGGGCTCTCAGGTGAGGATCTACCTGCAGGTGAAATCTGACTTGATGCAATTAGTTTAACTGGGACCTCGGTGCTAGCCTGGACTCTGTGAAGTAGTTTGACTTTAGGCAAGAGATAGACCTTCATTTTCACCAATACTGTTTGTTTCTCTTTCCTTATTCAGGAAGAGAAATAGTTTCTAACACTGAAGGCTTTCAGATCTAGTATTATCCTTTAAAGTCAGTAATTAGAAAATGTGGGATCACTTAACATTACTATCTACTCTCTTTTCTTTTTTTAAAAAAAGCTATACACTCTTCCCCCCAGAAATGTAACTATGTAATAAAGCAAAGAACACCTCCTTATAAAGAGAACTGGAGTAGTATCTTGAAATTGTGAGGGAAGGGGTTGAATCCTTTCTGCATTTTGAGGAGCTCCTTTGAGGGGAAAATTTTCCAGTGGCTCCCATTGTGGAATAAACGTAGAAGTCCTTTTAATGACCTACAGGGCTCTATAAGATTTGGCTTCTAGTTTCCTTTGTAAATTCACCGCCAACCACGTTCTCTCCTGCTCGCTCTGTTCCAGCCGCATGGGCCCTCTTGTGTTCCTTGAAAACCTTACCCAGCTCTGCACTTGATCGTCCGCAGAAAGCTTTGCCAGACAGCCTTGTAGTGGCTGCTGGCTTTCTTAATTTCTCTGCTCAGAGGGAAACTATTAGAAAGGGTTTCCAGCCCATGCCAATAAGACAACCTCACCTCACTGACCGCCCTGGCTGCCTCATACCTGCCGCGCCGAGTCGCGCTGTGTGTGTTGTGCTTGATCGCTCATCGCCCTCCTCTCTAGAGCGTCTGCTCCAAGGAGGAGGGCACTTGCCTGCTTCTCTGTCCCCAGCGCCTGTGACCTGCATGAATGCATGACTGAACAAATACAAATGACGTGAGTTCTAAAGCAGCTTTTTCCTTCTCAGGGAGCACTGGTAGCTTTGTGAGGTAGGAGCAGAGTGGGGTGTAGCAAACAGCTTCTAACACGGCCTCTGTCCTCACCTCTTGCTTGACATCCCCATGTCACCCCCAGGAGTCCCCTTCTGCAGCACGTAGGCTGCTCTAACTCTGGGAAGGTCATGCAGCAAGAGCAACAGGCCCAAGTCCCGGAGGCTGGCGCCCTCTTGCTCACAGTGAGGTCTCTGGCTCTTCCCCTCCTGCTGTCTGGTCTCCCCTTGCTCTGAGGAAGCTGCCAGGTTCTGAGCTGTGTTATGGAGAGGCCCATGAGGTGAACCCCTGAGAGAGGCTTCCAGCCCACATCCGGGGGAGGAGGATCCTGCTGACAGACCTTCTTCCCCTAGGAGTTCTGAGGTAAGGCAGCCCCAGCTGACGTGCTGGTGGCAGCCTGCTGGAGACTAGGCCAGAGGACAGTCTCATCCTCCCTGGATTCCTAACCTATTGGAACAGGGCATAAGAAATTTTCTCGGCGGTTAGGTGTCAGGGTAACCTGCGAGGCAGTGCTGCATGACATGTGATTGAAAAATATGGTGAATGTTTAAATTTATTTATTTATTTATCTATTTTGTTTTTTTTCCGGTAACGGGAATCAAACTCACGACCTCGGGCTTGCCAGGCAGGCGCTGTGCCATCCCCAGCCCCGAATGTTTAAATGTGAAGGAACTCATTACAGTACAAAACTACTTCCTCTTACCACCCTCCCCCCCCCACCCGCAATTCTCCCTCGCTTTGAACGCGCTCACCCCATTGTCCTTCCCTCTTTCCACAGCAGCTCTGGAGTCCTCTTTCGTGAGTGTCTTTAGCTATGCTGTCTTGGCTGTCTTGGTGTGTTGAAGTGATTCAAAGTGACTGTGAAAGGTCACTTTGACTTTGGGGAAGAGCCCTAAGTCACTGGTGCCAGATCTGGTGAGTAAGGTGGATGAGGACACATAGTAGTGTCTTTACTAGCTTGTCTTTCTGTTGGATAGTGTTGGGTAGCAGCAACCACTGTATTTTTATGTTTTAATATTATCCTACTTGGTGAAGACCCTCATGAAAGAGGACTTCCAGAACTGCTTCCTAAAGTGGCAGTTATGAGGAGCGTTCAACGTGAAGGAATGGGGAGTCTAGAGGAAGGTTGAGGACAGCGTGGCTTTTCCTGAAACATGGTTTACAAATTTTAAATGTGACTGTATGTTTTGATCACCGCTGCGTGTATCCCGTACTGCACATATGGCGGGGTTAGGCTCGGAAGGACAGCTTGGGTGTCTGGTGGAGGACGGTGTACGCAGTGTGAAGGAGGAGGGGACAGAATGGTGCTGTCTTCCCCTGCCTGTCCTGGCCAGCCGGCCCTGTTCTCATCTGTGGAACCTGAAAATACGTTACACAGGTTATACGGCAGAGGGAATGAAAGTTAGGTGCAGCACTAAAGTTGCTAATGAGAGGACTTTGAAGCAGGAGACTTAGCGAGGGTTATCTGGGCGAGCACAGGGCATCCACCGGGTCCAAAGTGGACAAGAGAGGTGGGAGAGAGGGGAGAAGCAGCCGAGATGGTGGACGCAGAGGCCACGGTGATGGCACAGGGCGGAAGGCAGGGAGTGAATGAGCTGGAGAAGACAGGGGTGGACACTTCCCTAGGACCTCTGGAAGGGACGCAGCCTGATCACACCTAGATTTCAGCCCAGTGAGACCCACTTGGGGCTTGTGACTTCCAGAACCTTAACATAATAAATTTTTCTTGTTTTATGTTAACAGAAGTTTTGTATTTCATGATAGCAAGAATAATACTACATTAGGAATTGGCATGGTGCTGCCCTTGTGGTCCAGATGCTGCTGGAGACCAACCTGAGGTGACCCCACACCTATTGTGTCCTCACTTGTCACCGTGTACTTCCTTTAGGTTGTCACTGGCGACCACGGTTGCCACACCACATGACACAGTGGTTGCACTTAACAAATACTGCAATCCACAACAGGAACCCTGCAAGCCATGCATTTCTTCATTAGTACTGTTTTGACACTCTGGTTAACTCTTCCCTCGGCTCCCTCATTCGCTTATTTCCCTATGCCTAATATTTTGTTATCAAAGTACCCACCCACCCGCACACCCACACTTATTTGCTTATTTTTCAATGCCTAATATTTTATTAGAGTACACACACACACACACACACACACACACACACACACACACGCGCACTCACTCATTTGCTTTTTTTCCTGTGCCTAGTATTTTGGTATCAAAGTTCTCCGTCTCTGTGTCTGTCTGCCTGGCTGTCTGTCTGTCTCTCTGCTTCTGTAAGGTTTATTTGTGGAGATTACTCTTTCCTGTGGACAGAAGTTTCTCTGCTTAGATTTAGTCCAGGTTCTGTTTTCACAGTCCCAAGCCTCAGGAGCTTCTCGTCCAGCAAGTGCGCCCAGAGCTGGGTCTCACTGGCCAGTGTTTGCGGAGTGCTGGGGGATGTTACGTCCCCAGCCTTCACGTCCGTCTCTCAGGTTAGTGGTGTTTCTCAGGAAGCGGTGTCACTCTGCTGTACTTAGAGAAACCGCTTGAGGGGAGAAATTCTGCCCTTTGTTAAAAATGGAGCCTGGAAGTGCTAGAGGGAGGTGTTAGGAAGCAGGGGAGCACAATGTTTGATCCAATCAGAAAAATTAAATGAGAACTGAAAAGAAATTGCTTTTTATTAAAGATTTAATTTTCCCAGTATCTTATTGTATTAGTACATGTTTGCAGTACATGCATCTTGCAGTCATCTTGGGGGGTTGGTGCATGTACATAGTACAGCTTGTTTCTTTTTCAATCCCTCTCCCTCTCCCTCCTCCTCTTCTTCCTCTTCCTCCTTTTCATTCTTGTCCACATTACTAATCTTAGCCCATGGCACATATGGTCCACATGTACGAGGTCATTAGGACCTCATACATGACATATCTTCACTCTATTTCCCCACCCCCTCCATCTGAGTAAGGCAAAGTACAAACTAAGAGAAAAGGCAAGATTTAACTTTAAGAGCAGTTTTATTTTTAGCAAAACTGAGAAAGGTACAGGAGGAATCCATCTACTACTGTGTCCCCACACAAACCTAGCCCTCTTATCACCAACACCCCGCCAGCAGAGTGGCAAATGTGTTATAAACAGTGAACCCACATCCACACACTGTATGAGAATTCCAAAGGACATACTCTTCAATACTATTTACAGTTGACAATAATGTCATATGTATTTCAAAATTGCCAAGAAAGTACATTGCTAATGTCTCATCACAAAAATGTGACGTTAACTCTGACTTTTTGCATGTATATTCTGACACAAATGTTAGGCTGATTTTTATTGGGAAGTAAGAGGGAAATAAAGGTGGGAGAAGAACAAGGATTCCCCTGGGACGGGTGTGGAAGTGGGTGGTATGGATCTTCAAGTTTTGAGCTAACTTTTTATAATCAAGCTTCATTGTTTTCCCTTTGTTTCAGGCACCCTCTCCGTCTCCACAAACTGCTGGTATGAAGTGACTGTGACAACTGGCTTCCTCCCTCTCGTGTCTCCCTACAAACTTTCTGTTGATCTCCATGTGCTGCTGAAACCTTAGACCTAGAACTTGGCCTCCATTTTTCCTGGTTCTCTGAGATTCCCCACCTTATCAGACATGGGGTCTAATTTCCTTGTACTTTACTTCATCCTGAGGTGAGCTTCCCTCTAATGGCTTTTAAAATCCTTTTTAAAAATTTTTTTTTAAAAGAGAGTAGTAAATGGGAAACAAATAAGCAAAGAAATAAAACAGTAGCAGCATACCAGTATCACAAACATAAACACACCAAAGCAAGATTCAAAGTGATACAGAGTCTCAAGACAAAATAATACGAATCAACAGTGGTTGTTACATTACATATCTCTGTCCTCAACTACGTTGCTCAGATTACCAGATGTGAGAATAACAGATTGCTCAAACCATTATAGGGAATAAGAAAATAATTCTTTGATAAAACAGTAGAGATAAACAGAGTTTCACTAGACAAGATGATAGGAGTTCCATTGTAATTCCATTGCCTACTGTTACCTTCAAATCAATTGCTCAGAGCACCAGACACAAGCATGCAAAATCGATCAGAACATAAAAAACTGTGAGCATTAACTGTTCATTTCAGTACACCATCAGACAACAGCAATACAGTTATCACAGCTATATATGTATATTTTGCCTTTCTTCTTTCTTTTGTCTTCTTTCTCTCATCCCAGTCGTTCCTTC